GGGAGCAGTGCTGGAAGCCCTATTTCCCCACGCGAGAGGGGCGCCAGCATCCCTCATTTACAGGAGGAATTCGAGATTTGGTGAGGACGTCCCACAGCCCGGATTTGAACCCAGGCTTGGATTCCGAGGCCCACGTGCTCGCTCCACAGTGCCTTCTGCTGGCCACCTTCCCTGCCCTCAAAGATTGCTGTAACCAGAAGTGGATGAGCATTTCGAGGAGGAATGCTCCCCGCACAAGCCGAGGTGTTTGCAGGGTATCCCAGACTCCACTTTGGTGTCCCTGGAGTGCCCATGCCAGCGACCTTTTGGTGGCTCTCTTACCCCAGTTGGAACTGTCGCCAAGTGTGTCCCCATCGTGGGGAGAGGAAGAGAGGAAGTGGATTAGCGGCGTCAGGCCTTGCGGAGGTGCACTCGCACCGTCCTGCGCTACGGTCTCAGAAGCAGGAGGACGCTTTCCGGGAGCCGGCTGCTGTGGCACCGGCAGCAGTTTCAGCAGTTGGATAGCTCCAGCCTCCCTGTCACACCCTCACTCCTCATCCACTCCAAAATTCAACGCAGCATGCCAGGCCCCAGGTATGTTGAGGCGGAAAGCTACGGTCCCCGCCCGGAGGAGCCATGCAGTTCCCTGCAGCGTGGGTGGAGGAGGGGGGACAGGTGTCCAGACGTGTGTGTACATGGGCCGGCAACTCCCAGTCCTTGAGTCTCAGGTGGGCAAAATCATGCCGCCACTGTGGCACTCGTGTGCCTGACTCCAGGCAGGGCCTTCTCGTCCTGCCTCCCGGCACTCTGTGTGTGGCCCTTCTGTGAGGCTGTTGCCCCTCAAGCAGCCCCTGGGATGCGAAACCCCCTCGTTCACACGGCAGAGTATTCAGCCCAGCGCCTGCTGCAGAGCCTGGGTGAACAGCGTCTGGGTGACGAGAGTAACAGGCAGGATGCAAGGGGAGGCAGGCGGCTTCCGCGGACCTCGGTCCATGTGCCCGTCCAGCAGGACCCTGAGCCCAGCTCCCATCTGGGGCGAGGGCTCCGCGGTGGCAGGCAGGAGGGGCTGCATAATGAGCTCCGGAAAGCTCTAGAATGCCGTCTGTCGCCATTACACTTGACGGAGGGCGTGGTGAATAGCAAGGGCTTGGGGCATGTGGTTGGATTTTGGGTTTTTCCTTGCAGGACTGTGCTGAACCTGCAGCATTGGGAAGCCCTTGGCCTCTGCCCTTTCTCTGAAACGTGCCTCTTCTGCCTGGATGGCTTGGTCATTCTTTCCTCATCCATAACCTTGAATAGCTTCACCAAGATCCATGCTGGTGTCAATATTTTATATTAATTTTTCCTGGGATATGGTGCTCTTGATTTTTTTGAATTAGGGTATAATTTGCATAGCTAAAATGCCCAACTCTTAAGCACACGGCTTGACTGTTTACATGTTTACACTCTTGCTAATCCACCCAGGTCACAGCATGGAACTTTCCAGAGCTTCTCTTACCCTTCCTTTCCCCTCCCCAAGCTGATGGGTATGCTAGCTTCTGGAGGGCCCCATCTGCCATCGGGCCTCTCAGGGGTGGATTCATCCGCCCGCCTTCCTGACACTCCTCTTGCTCCGCGCAATGTGCTAGCGGTCACCCCCTGTGGTTCCAAATGTCTGTTGGCCCCTTCCGGGCCGGTGTGTGGTTTCCCATTCTGAGTGTTTGCTTTGACCCCATTTTTATTGTTGGGGTTGTGTACTTCTCATGCCGTTTTCCCATCCCAAACCTGTGGTGTCTTTTCTGAGTGAGAACACCCTTGTGGCTACAAGAGCCCCAGAGTAGGAAGCCCAGCATTCGTGTGGCAAGGTTGGGTTCCCTAAGAGCCAAGCGGCCTCCCCACCTCAGTGCCCTTCCCAAACTCCTGCTTACACATCAGGACCCACTGGCAGTGCTGTTCGAGTCACTGCTCCCTGGTCCCTGCTTCTAATGAGGCCTGCATGTGCTGCTTTCCAGCACCTGGCAGGCGGTGCCCGCTGTGCCTCTGTGTTTCTCCCCTTTCATGAACTCCCAGGGCAGCCCCTGTGGCGCTCTGTCCATCTTTGGGGGTGTCCCTGATGCCCAGCACAGCAGGAGTGAATGTCCTGGGCCAGTTCTGCCTGACTGCAGAGCATGGAGGTGCCAGTCAGCACTGGTCAGGCCAGCTGCTGGGTCTTGTTGTGCCCGCCGCTTCCTGCCACCCTTGCATTTTCTCCTCTTAGGGCCACTGGTGTGTCTCACCTGGAACCTTCTCACCAACAGCCCATCTGTTACTTCACAGATCCTGCCATGCAGGAGCCGTGCACAGCTTGGCTGAGGTCTCTGCCAGGGTCTCCTGGGGCTGCCATTCAGCTGTCCTGGGCTCCAATCTCCTGTGGAGCTTGAGGTCCTTCCCTGACCATTCAGGCTGTGGAAGGATTTCCATCCTGCGGCTGTGGGGGTCAGGCCCTCAGCCTCCAGGGGTAACTCAGAGGCCTGTGCCTTTCCTGATCCTTCTGTCAGGAGACTGGGAGTCCTTCCTTTCCGTGTCACCTGTGTCCTGGCTCCGTGTCCACTTGCTTCAGTTGACCCACGGCCTCTTCTCTGAACAATGGTCCTCTTTCTCTGAGTTCTTTTTATTTTGTTTGGTTTGGTTTGGTTGGTTTGTTTTGAGACAGGGTCTCACTCTGTCACCTAAGCTGGAGAGCAATGGCGTGATCTCGGCTCACTGCAATCTCCACCTCCCGGGGTCAAGCGATTCTCCTGCCTCAGCCTCCCAAGTACCTGGGATTACAGGTGGACACCGCCACACCCGGCTAATTTTTGTATTTTTAGTAGAGACGGGATTTCACCATGTTGGCCAGGCTGGTCTCAAACCCCTGACCTCAAGTGATCCACCTGCCTCGGCCTCCCAAAGTGCTGGGATTACAGGTGTGAGCCACTGTGCCTGGCCCAGCTCTCTTTGTTTTTAAGGGGTGCCTTGGTAATTTCTTCATCATACTTTTTTTTTCAGGGTAGCAGGTAAGGGACTCAGTGGATAGGCTCATGGAGACAGTCCTTGAAGGCCTGGTATTCTAAGACGCGGCTACTTTATTTTATTTATTTATTTTTTTGAGACGGAGTCTCGCTCTGGAGTGCAGTGGTGAAATCTTACTGCATCCTCCACCTCCTGGGTTCAACCGATTCTCCTGCCCCAGCCTCCCGAGTAGCTGGGACTAACGCAATCACCACTACGCCTGGCTAATTTTTTTTTTTTTTTTTTTTTTTTTTTTTTTGGCGGAGACTGGGTCTCACTATGTTTGCCAGGCTGGTCTCGAACTCCTGACCTGGAGTGATCCTCTTGCCTCGACCTCCCCGAGTTCTGTGATTACACGCGTAAGCTCCCTCGCCAGCCTAGACTCGGCTACTTTTGGATCAAGAAATCCAGAAGTTTCTAGACTGTGAACTTGCTCTTTACCATGGACATTCACCACCTGCAACTTCCCAGGGGTTCTCTGTCTCGCCCCACACTGTGAGGACCCCCTTACCAAACAGAATTCCAGGGCGCTGGCTCTTCGCGGGATCTGAGCTATTCGCCGGCGTCCTGAGTTGCTTGGGTTCACTCCCCCACCCTCGTGTCCCTGCCTGAGTCCTGCCTTGTGTTTTCGATTCTGTTTGTCAGAGGCCCTAGCGTGGGGCTTCTCTGTGGGAGAGCACGAGGGAAGCGGTGAGGGGCGATTCCGGAGGAGGCAGAGCCCCGGGTGTCCGTGGGAAGCTCCAAGGCCGGGCCACGGGACGGCCACCCTGGGCTGTGACACAGTCCAGGATCTTCGCTAAGGCACCTGCTGGAGGCTCCGCCTGGGTCCCAGGACCCTGACTGCGCCAGGCGGCTGCCAGCGAGGAGGCGGGGCCGAAGCGAGGGCGGGGCCGAGGCGGGGGCGGGGAAGGAGGGGCGGGGTCTGTCTGGTGGGCGGGGCTTCTGGATGGGCGGGGCTGCTGGCTCTGAGGTCTGAGCCGGGCTCCCGGCTGAGGAAGCTGACAACTCCTAGAGGCTCAGTGCGCGAGCCCGAAGTTGGGCCCGGAAAGGGGGCACCGCCTTCCCGGTTCTGGTGGATGGGGAGTGAGGGGAAGGACAAAAGCGGCACAGGGAATAGCATGACACGGGCCCGGGGCAGGGCGCATTTGGAAAGGGGCGAGGAGAGGACAGTGGCCTCCGGCACGGCGGCAGTGGGCCTGGAGAGGGAGTCGGGCCCCGTCGCGAAGAGCCTCCGCCCGGCGTAAGGAGCCGGGACTGTCTAGGAGGCAGTGGAGGCTCCGGAGAACCAAGCGCCTCCCACCCAGGCTCGCGTGCTTGGAGTACCGGAGACTGCAGAGCAAGAGAGGGTCTTCAGAAGACCCACGACGTTCCACCGGGATGCGGAGGGGAACGGTTATTTGTACTTCTACATCATCTCTTTTGCATGTGTGTGTGTGTGTGTGGTGGTGTTGTTTTGCGACAGAATCTCTGTCACCCAGGCTGGAGTGCAGTGCTGATCTCGGCTCACTGCAGCCTCTGCCTCCTGGGCTCAAGTGATCCCCCCGCCTCAGCCTCCCGAGTACCTGGGACCACAGGCGCCTGCCACCACGCCCGGCTAATTAAAAAAAAATTTTTTTTAGTCGACACAGCGGTGTGTGTTGCTCAGGCTGGTCTGAAACTCCTGGACTCAAACCATCCTGCCGCCTCGGCCTCCCGAAGTGCTGGGATTACATTCATGAGCCACTGCGCCCACCCGGTCTAAGTGTTTTATTTATTTATTTTTATTTTTTTGAGACAGAATCTTGTTCTGTCGCCCAGGCGGGAGTGCAGTGGCGCAATCTCAGCTCACTGCAAGCTCCGCCTCCCGGGTTCACGCCATTCTCCTGCCTCAGCCTCCCGAGTAGCTGAGACTACAGGCACCCGCCACCACGCCTGGCTAAATTTTTTTGTATTTTTAGTACAGACGGGGTTTCACCGTGTTAGCCAGGATGGTCTCGATCTCCTGACCTCGTGATCTGCCCGCCTCGGCCTCCCAAAGTGCTGGGATTACAGGAGTGAGCCACCGCGCCGGGTCAAGTGTTTCACTTTTTGTTTTACAACAGCTTCTAATTTGTTACAAATAAACGTGCAGCATGTGGTGGGAGTGTTCAGGTGTTTACTGGTGCAGTGCGCAGGGAACGCGGTTCCAGGCGCGAGATGTGGAGGCCCAGAGGCAGAAGCCCCGTGGCAGCAGCGCGCGCAGGCGCGCAGGGGACTGTCGGAGGAGCAGGCGGGGACCTGGGCTCCCAGGGCTGTGCCCTCCCCCGCCCCAGGTCCAGTTCCAGGGGCGCGTCTGGCCCTTTGTTGCTGTCTTATTAGGGTTCTTTCATGGGGGTCGGTTCTTAATTCTTTCTTTTCTCCCGAGAGAGGGTCTGTCTACTTGTTGTAAGAGGGAAGAGTCCACACCGCAGCAGTACACTTTGCACACATGATGAAAAGAGTCACTTTTGCAGCATTCCAGCTGGAGATGCGTGACCTTCAGTCTGCGGCGGGCGGCAGGGCGAGAGGCTTGGACAGGAGGTGCATCTTGCCCGGGGAAGGCTGAACGAATGAGAGCTCGGTCCCTGGTGAGAAAGACCCCAGAGCATGCGAGAGGCGGGCAGCAAAGGCTTCTCTGCAGCGGAGACGCGAGGGCGGCGACCTGCAGGGAGGCGGGGGCAGCGCCTGGGGCGCTCCAAGCTCTCGACCCCAAGGAAGCCCACGCTCGGGACCCGCGTGCTGCCACAGCCCCGGGGGCCTGGAGGGGCCCGTGCGCCGAGCGGAGGACCCGGGACAAGCGCGGGGCGCCGCGGGGAACGGAAGGGAACGCGCGTGGTCTCCCCACCGCCGGCCTTCCACGCCTCCTGACACGTACTGCGGGCGCCCGGGTACGGTCCTCAGTTGGTTCGAGCCGAATCCCGGCGCGCCAACGGCTCGACCTTGCCCGCCACGAGGCGGGGCTTCCTGCCCGACAGGAAGGACTCTGCTGGCGCCTGCGGGCAACCGTAGAGCTGAAGGCGCCGCGGCTGGGCCGTCCCGCTCTCCGGGGCCGCCGAGCGCACTGTCCTCCCGCGGCCCAGAGCGTCACCGGAAGTGCCTGGGGGGCGGGCCAGAAGTGGGGACTGCGGCGCTTCCGGCGCGCGGCGGGGCGGGGACCGTAGCGAATGCAGTCCAGCTGTCCTGGATGCCGCGGCGCCGGCTATTCTTGCTCTGGCGTCGATTCGGGAGGGTCAGGGAGCGGCGGAGGGAACGGGGCTGGCACCGCCGTCCTGGCCGGCGCGTCCTGCACTCCCCTTGCAGCGCAGGCCCCAGCCGCTCTCGGGCGCGGCGTGGAGGAGGCGGCCCTGCAGGTGCATTCCCGGGGTGCCCACGCATGCGGGGCTTCCTGTGAGCTGAGTTCCCCCCGCGCGTCTTCAGGCCTTTGTAAGTTGTCAAATTTCCCACCGGCCCAGCTCATCGAGCCTCCTCCCAGCTGTGAACAGGAGAGCCTGTTACCTACTTCTTGCCGGTAAGGTACTTTCAAAAATCTGCTTCCAGACTAAAGAATTGCACTTTAAATACCTTTTTGCAAAATAGGCGGGGTCTCGCTGTTTCCCAGGCTGGCCGCCTACTCCTGGGCTCAAGCGATCCTCCCGCTCAGCCTCTCTGGCAGGCGGGATTACAGGCGGCTTAAATTAAATTTACTAATTAATTAATTTTTATTTACTTATTATTTTAAGACAGGGTCTTCTTCTATCACCCAGCTGGAGTGCAGTGGCGAAATCTCAGTTCACCCCAGCCTAGACCTGGGCTCAGGCAATCCTCCCACCTCAGCCTCCCTAGTAGCTGGGACTACAGACGCCTACCATCACACCTGGCTAATTTTTTAATTTTTTGTAGAGACGGGGTCTCACTACGTTGCCCTGGCTGGTCAGGAACTCCTGTACTCAGTCCTCCATCCCGAGCCTCTTGAAGTGCTAGGATTGCAAGTGTGAGCCACAGCACCCAGCCAAATTATACTTCTTAATTGCACTTGAGGTGAGACCCCCCCAAAAAATGTATTGCTTACTGGTTTTTCTTGGTGAATTACATATTCATGATCTTTGCCAATTTTCCTTCGTTTCTTATTAATATATAGAGGTCTTTATCAGATAGGGATGAATCTTTGCATTGCACATATTTCCCCTTTTTGGTTTTGGTTTTTTTACATTAAATTTTTTTATGTAGTTAAATTTGTCAGACATCTGATGTCAGGCTTAGAAAAATCATTCCTCAGTCCAAAACTTTACCATTCAAATAATTTGTTCTTTTTTTCTGGTTTAACATTTTTGTATTCAAATCCTTATAACTACCAAGAAAATTTTAAAATCCATGGGAATTTCTCTAGCTATTTGCAGACTGCTGGAGGGCGTGAGCTTGCTCATCATGGAGCTAGGAAGCTGTGGCCATGCCCACCTGTGCTCTGTGTCAGCTCTGGGTGGAGGGGAACCGGCACAGCCTGGACCAGAGTTCCTGGGCATCCCGCAGAACACCGCTTCTGGGAGTGACTGTTGAGCCAGGACCTTGATTGCCAGTGACAGGGGTGGGCCCAGCTGGATGTTGCAGCTCCCGCAGGGCCTATTCTGACCGTCTCCTCTGAAGGCATTCTTACCTCACTGCCCCGGCCCCTGTACCTAACCCTGGCTGCGATTTATTTTCCTTTTCTTTTACCTCAGCAGAAATTGTTCTGACTGCTGGCGTTCTGCAAGGTGGAGCCAGGAGGAGAGCCCCCAGGTGCCAAGGAGAGCAGTACCCTGATGGAGGCCCTTGCAGGTGAGGGGACACGTCCACAGTCGGGCCCAGAGTTCCAGGGCAGGAATTGAACAGGAATACAGGAAAAACACCATGTCTCGGTCACTGGCGCAGAGCATATACTGTGTCCTCGGGCGCAGAGTGAGGGAGGGAGGTAAACGCAGGCCCATCAGATCTCCTGGGCATCTGTTTGGTGACTGTCTTTGCCAGTGAACTGAGAGCTTTTGGTTAGAAAGTCTGGCAGCCCCAGGCTCTGCCTCTGGGAAGGTCTGGCTCAGTGCTTCTCAGCCTTGGCACTCTGGCTGTTTTGGAATGGATGAGTTTGTTGCGGGGCCATCGTGTGCATTGTGGGAGGTTCGGCAGCACCCTCGCCTCTGCCCACTTGCTGTCAGTAGCGCCCCCTCCCAGTTGTGACAACCATAAACATCTCCACACATTGTCAAATGTGCCCTTGGGACAGAATCGCCCACATGAGAACACTGTTTTATGTTTTGGGGCCACCCTGAGAGTGTGTCACAGCGATGGGCGGGAGGTGGGGTGGGTAGTGCAGGCCCTGCTATGGGATCAGGGATTGCCTCCATTGGAAAGGCATCCTAAGGGCCTGCAAGCTGGATCCAGTAGAGCTCCACCGTGTATGTGGCTCCTTCTCATTGTAGTTTTGGTTCTTTTTCCTCATAAGCAATACCTTTGAGTCAGTTCTTGAACTTCCAAGTCTGCAAACCACACAAGACCAGGGCTGGCCTCTGCCAAGGGGCTTCTGTTCTGCGCACCACCCTGAGCCTCTCCCACCCCCTGGCTGCTCAGTGTCATGGGCCCCCTGGCTGCTCAGTGTCATGGGTCTGCAAGGGCAGAGAGAGGTGGGGACTGTTGACAGCAGCCTGCTCTCATCTGCCCTGGAACATCCCTGCCCCACCCCCACCTCCACAGGAGTTTCCATCACATCTGCACCCTCCACTTTCTTGAAAGGTGCAGCCGGGACTCAGCCGCTTCTCTTCCGCTGCCACAGCAGACTGCCTGCAGGCAGAGAAGTCCCGTTCAATTGCTGTGCTGGCCTCAGGGCCCCCCGTCCTCCCACTGCCGCTCCTGGCTGAGCCCTCCTGCCTCCTATGCAGGCCGAGGTCAGTAGCCAGCTTTCTCACGTCCCAGGGTTTCGTCCCTACCCCTTAAGCCTTTTTTCTAAATGGCCACATGGTCTGTTGCTGTGAGCCGGAGGAACCAAATCTAACCAGTGGCTTCACTGCCAGACAAGGACTACTGATGATGCAGCCTGGTCGGGGCTGCTCAGCTCGGTCAGCACCACCAGCCACTGCCCAGCCACATGGGTTGCTGCTTCTAGCTCTTAGTCCGGATTTCTTTTTTTTTTTTTTTTAGACAAAGTCTTGCTCTGTCACCAGGCTGGAGTACAGTGGCACAAGCTCACTGCAGCCTCCACCTCCTGGGTTCAAGCAATTCTGCCTCAGCCTCTCAAGTAGCTGGGACTACAGGTGTGCACCACCACGCCCGGATAATTTTTGTATGTTTGGTAGAGACGGGGTTTCACCATGTTAGCCAGGATGGTCTTCATGTCTTGACATCATGATCTGCCCACCTTGGCCTCCCAAAGTGCTGGGATGACAGGCGTGAGCCACCATGACCGGCCTCTTGGTCCAGATTCTGAGTGAGGACACTCCTGTTTGCACGTAACAGAAGCTCTTAGAGTTTGGTGTTTGGGGGGAGTTGTTAAGGAGGCCACGTTGTCTCAGGGAGTCCAAGGTGAAAGGAATGAGCTGGGGCCATGGCTGGGTGTGGTGGCTCACACCTGTAATCCCAGCACTTAAGGAGACCGAGGTGGGAGGAGGGTTGAACCCAGGAGTTCAAGAGCAGCCTGGGCAACACATTGACACACTGTCTCTACAAAAAATGTTAAAACTAGCCTGGTGTGGTGGTGCTCACCTGGAGTCCCACCTACTTGGGAGGCAGAGGGAAGATCACCTGAGCCCTGAGGCTGCAGTGAGCCATGATGGCACCACTGCTTTCCAGCCTGGGTGATAGAGCAAGACCCTGGCTCACAAAAAAGGAAGGAGGGACAGACAGAAGGCAGAGCTGGGCCGTGGGCTCTGTTGGGTGCCACCATCCCCACGCCTCCTGCTGCGTCTGCCTCGCTCCTGTCCTGGCTTGCTGCCAGCAGTCTCCAGCCTCTTTTGCTTTCCCAGCTGCCCTGCAGAGTAAGGCAGTGCCCAGAGCCTGCGTTTCTGTCCCCAGGACTGAGTGGGCTGAAACTGGAGGTGTAGCCCCATTTCTAGCCCCGTTTAGCCTCGTTTCTGTATGTGTGTGTATTTATTTATTTATTTATTTATTTATTTATTTATTTATTTTGAGATGGAGTCTCACTCTGTCACCCAGGCTGGAGTGCAGTGGCGCGATCTCAGCTCACTGCAAGCTCCGCCTCCCGGGTTCACGCCATTCTCCTGCCTCAGCCTCCTGAGTAGCAGGGACTACAGGCACCCACCACCACGCCTGGCTAATTTTTTATGTGTTTAGTAGAGATGGAGTTTCACCCTGTTAGCCACGATGATCTCGATCTCCTGACCTCGTGATTCGCCCGCCTCGGCCTCCCAAAGTGCTGGGATTACAGGCATGAGCCACCACGCCCAGCCTTCTGTTTGTATATTTTTAAAATTCTATTTTTTTTTTAAGAGACAGGATCTCACTGTGTTGGCCAGGCTGGTCTCGAATTCCAAGTCTCAAGTGGTCCTCCTGCCTCAGCCTCCCAAAGTGCGGGGATTACAGGTGTGAGTCACCACGCCCAGCCCCACAGCCCGGTTTCTAGAGTGGCAGTGCAGGACTCTCATCCACCTCATAACCACAGGGGTTAAGAAAGTGGGGAGGAGAAAAAACTAGGCGGGCAAAATCAAAGGTGTCTTTGGCACACTGATGTCACCATCACCGTCATTGTCCTGTCGTCACCACGATTGCCAGAGCCACCCTCAACTCACATTCTCTTGCGTCTAAAATCGTTGCTGTCTGGCCTCTTTTTCAGTTGTGAAGGCTGCTTTCCTGGCGCAGGCCCCAAGTGGCAGCGGATCAGCCGAGGTGCAGGCAGCTCGGAGTACGGAGCCTGCACCAGAGCCAGGCGCTCCCGAGGGAGAGGGCCACAGAGGGGGGCCTCCCCGGGCGCTGGGGTCTCTTGGCCTTTGTGAAAACGAGGAAACCAGAGAGAGGCCCAGAGGTTCCCCTCGAGGTCCGGTCATTTCTGAGAAAACTGGAGGACAGAGTGGCCGCGAGTCAGACGTCCCTCTGAACTTAGGCCCCGGAGCGGAGGGCAGGGGCGGCTGGAAGGGGCGGCCTTTCCCGTGCAGCGCCTGTGGCCGCAGCTTCAAGTGCTCCTCGGACGCCGCGAAGCACCGGAGCATCCACTCCGGGGAGAAGCCGTACGAGTGCAGCGACTGCGGGAAGGCCTTCATCCACAGCTCGCACGTGGTCCGACACCAGCGGGCGCACAGCGGGGAGAGGCCCTATGCGTGTGCCGAGTGCGGCAAGGCCTTCAGCCAGAGCTTCAACCTCCTCCGGCACCAGCGCGTGCACACGGGCGAGAAGCCCTACGCGTGTGCCGACTGTGGCAAGGCTTTCGGCCAGAGGTCGGACGCCGCCAAGCACCGCCGCACCCACACCGGGGAGAGGCTGTACGCGTGCGGCGAGTGCGGGAAGCGCTTCCTGCACAGCTCGAACGTGGTCCGGCACCGGCGGACCCACCACGGGGAGAACCCGTACGAGTGCCAGGAGTGCGGCCAGGCCTTCAGCCAGAGCTCCAACCTCCTCCAGCACCAGCGCGTGCACACGGGGGAGCGGCCCTTCGCCTGCCAGGACTGCGGCCGCGCCTTCAGCCGCAGCTCCTTCCTCCTCGAGCACCGCCGCATCCACACCGGGGAGAAGCCCCACGAGTGCGTCCACTGCGGGCGCGCGTTCCGGGCGCTGTCGGGCTTCTTCCGGCACCAGCGGCTCCACACGGGCGAGAAGCCGTTCCGCTGCACCGAGTGCGGCCGCGCCTTTCGCCTGAGCTTCCACCTCATCCAGCACCAGCGGGTGCACGGCGCGGAGTGAGCCGGGGCTGCCGCTGAAGAGATGCCAGAGGCCTGGTGGGCGTAAGGCCGAGGTCGGGTGAGTCCTGTCCGCACCATGCACGGTGAGGAAGTAACAACCGGCTGCTCGCCTGGTTCTCGGGCTGCAGAAGCCTCGCCCAGCCTGCATCTGCCTTGGCTCAGGAGCAGTCAGGAGAGACAGGGCTCGGCGAAGGTGAGCGCTGCCCATGGGAGGCGATTCCCAGAGGCGGGGAGGTCTCAGGGGTCTGTCCCAGGCCGGCCGCCCGCTGCTGAGATGCCTCCCCTCCCGCGGTCAGCTGCAGCGAAGGTCTCATCTCCTGCTGGGGTGTAGTGGCCGGTGATTGAATGAGTCATTCCTAGGCAGCCAGGCCTCCATCAAAACCCTGCATGAGACGAGGGGCTGAGGGTCTCGAGCTTCAGGTTGGTGAAGGCGGGGGCAGTTAGGAAGGGGGCCTCGCGCCCTCGCCCCGTACCTTGCTGGCGAGCAGTTCATCCATATCTTTCAACGCTTTTCACAGCTGGTTGCTATGGTCCTGAGTTCTGTGTGCTTAGAAAATTATGGAACTTGGCCGGGCGCGGTGGCTCCTGCTTGTAATCCCAGCACTGCAGGAGGCCGAGGCGGGTGGATCACGCAGTCAAGAGATCGAGACCATCCTGACCAACATGGTGAAACCCTGTCTCTACTAAAAATACAAAAATTAGCTGGGCGTGGTGGCGCGCGCCTGTAATCCCAGCTACTCGGGAGCCTGGGGCAGAAGAATCGCTTGAACCTGGGAGGCGGAGGCTGCAGTGAGCCGAGATCCCACCACTGACTCCAGCCTGGGTGTCACTTAGCCTGCAAGGTGGAGGCTGCAGTGAGCCAAGATGGCGCCGCTGACTCCAGCCTGGGTATCGCTCAGACTCAGTGAGACTCCACCTCAAAAAAAATAAAAATAAATAATTAAAATGATGTCTTAGAAATGGAAATGTGATAGGCAAAATTAAATTAGCAAGAAAGTGGAAAGTGGAGAAAATCTGTTTGAATGAATGAAAAGATAAGAAGGTGGGTGATAGGATAGATTGAGACCAACAGGAATTCCAAGGGGGGAAAAGCAAAAACAGAAGATGGTGGGAATGAAGTTTAGAGAAAGAATTTTCCCCCAGAACCGAGAAACACGAATCTCCAGAGTAAAAGCACTTACCGATATCCCGCACAAAGATGGAAGAAACAACCTACATCCAGGCATGACGTAAAACATCAGACAGTCCAGGACATACAGACCATCGGAGAGCGCAGATCACACAGAGGCTGAGAAATAAATCCCTTCCCAAGGGCAAATTGGAAGTTAGAAAACATCGGAACAATGCTTCGAAAATTACAAGTGAAAATCATTTGCAACCTAGGATTTTATACCTACCCAAGTGGTCAGTCAAGTGTGACGGTATGACAGCATTTTCAGATATGCAAACTCTAAGTTTTAAAAATTCATTTTCATAATACATGTTTTCAGGAGCCTACTAAAGGAGGAGCTCCAAATCAAGGGAGTAAACCAAGAAAGAGGAAGAAGTGGGGCCAGCCACTGTGCTGTAATCCTAGCACTTTGGGAGGCTGAGGCGGGCGGATCACTAGGTCAGAAGTTCAAGACCAGCCTGGCCAATATGGTGAAACCCCGTCTCTACTAAAACTACAAAAATTAGTTGGGTGTGATGGTGCATGCCTGTAGTCCCAGCTACTCAGGAGGCTGAGGCAGGAGAATTGCTGGAACCTGGGAGGCGGAAGTTGCAGTGAGCCAAGATTGCACCGCTGCACTCCAGCCTGGCAACAGAGCAAGAATCCATCTGAAAAAAAAAAAGAGGAAGAAGTGGAATCTCGTAAACGGGGTTAGTGGTGAGGCATCCCCACGTGACAGCGGAGCCCCAGGGCTGGGCAGAGAGAGCCGCGTGTCCTGGGACCGTCTGAAATTTCCCACAGTCCACTCTGGAGCCACAGTGACGGACTTTCCTTCCACCAGTAAAATATGCTCACCACCCCCCACTCAAGCCACCCAGAGGTCTGTTCCTGCTGCTGTCTCAGCTCAGAGGCTGTCAGCTCATGATTCTCCTCTGGTCCAGATATATGTGAGATGCCTCTTGAGGCTGTAAACTAAAGAAAAAAATCACCTGCCTCTACCCCAGCATAGGATTTTGAGACAGGGCCAGGATAAGCACAGTAATGCTCCCGTTTGAAAGAGAGTGGGGGCTCATTTATTGCAGACCCCAGTCTGTAGCACTTCTGTGACATAGTCAACAGCATGTTGCCAAGGGACCTCATTTAGGGGGCAGAGTCTGTGTCTTTTTTAGGGCCCCATTTTCCCTGGGAGTGACATTATTACCCTTTTTTTCCTCCTCAGATTTTGACTCTGCCCTTGGTGTCTCTCCTCTGTGTTTTGAGATGTCCGATAGCCTGTATTTGAGGCGAAACAGCTTTCTCAGTTGCTCACTGCCTGTAGAAGGAGGGAACCCAAAGGCTTCATTTTCAACTGTCTCAATCTCTTTTCATTTAAACTGATACAGCGCCCTTAAAAAATCTTGTGGGTTTCTGGCCAGGCACGGTGGCTCACGCCCGTATCCCAGCACTTTGTGAGGCCGAGGCGGGCGGATCACGAGGTCAAGAGATTGAGACCATCCTGGCCAACATGGTGAAACTCCGTCTCTATTAAAATTACAAAATTTAGCTGGGTGTGATGGTGGGCACCTGTAGTCCCAGCTACTCAGGAGGCTGAGGCAGGAGAATTGCTTGAACCCAGGAGGCAGAGTCTGCAGTGAGCCAAGATCGTGCCATTGCCCTCTAGCCTGGCGCAAGAATGAGATTCCATCTCAAAAAAAAAAAATCTTGTGGGATTCTTAGATTATGTTCTCCACTAGACAAAAAATAGACTTAAACATTTGTCAGTGTTTTATCTGTTTTGTATGATGTGTTAGCATGTTGTGGGAAAACATCCTTTAGTGTCTTAGAAATGCTTTTGTCTAGCTGAGAGGGTTTGTACTATATACTATCTTTTTATTATTATTATTATTTTAGAGACAGGGTCTTGCTCTGTTACTTAGGCTAGAGTGCAGTGGTGCAGCCAGTTCACAGCAGCCCTGAACTCCTGGCCTCCCATGTCAGCCTCCCAAAGGGCAGGGATGACAGGTGTGAGCCACCACACCCAGCCCCAAGATAGTAAACCTTTCTGGGGCCTTAACAATGGATATGGCCACAACCTTGATTTTATCTTTATCCTGAGGCCACTTATGACTTGAATATTTTTGGGCAGTGGTGATGCACCCTATAGTCCCAGCTGGTCAGGATGCTGAGGCAGGAGGATCCCTTGAGCAATGTAGGGAGAACCTTGTCTCTAAAAAACAAAAAGCAAATTTAAAACAATTTTTAAAAGACAATGCTTTGCTGACTGCAGAGACAACAACACGTGAGATGGTTTTGTTTCCCAAACCAGGTCAGGCCCCGGCTCTATTTCCTCCAGATTCCGCCTGCAGACTAGACGATCCCTCCTTTCGTGCATTTCACCCTCACAGGCCTCACCAGTGCCACGAGGAGCGTTCGCTGAAATTTTTGCCACTCTGTCTGGAGCTCTGCTTAGCCGGATCTGTTTTCTAATTTCCAAGTTACTGAAGGCAATTTTTTTTTTTTCGAGACAAAGTCTCACTCTGTTGCCCAGGCTGGAGTGCAGTGGCATGATCTCGACTCACTGCAAGCTCCGCCTCCTGGGTTCTCGCCATTCTCTTGCCTCAGCCTCCTGAGTAGCTGGGACTACAGGTGCCCACCACCATACCTGGCTAATTTTTTGTTTTTTAGTAGAGATGGGGTTTTGCCATGTTAGCCAGGATAGTCTCGATGTCCTGACCTCGTGATCCACCCGCCTTGGCCTCCCAAAGTGCTGGGATTACAGGCATGAGCTACCGTGCCCGGCCTTTTTTTTTTTTTTTTTTTTTTTTTTTTAAGGCAGAGTCTGGTTCTGTTTCCCAGGCTGGAGTGCAGTGGCGCGATCTCGGCTCACAGCAGCCTCCGCCTCCCGGGTTCAAGTGATTCTCCTGCCTCAGCCTCCTAAGCAGCTGGGATTACAGGCACACACCACCATGCCCAGCTAATTTTTGTATTTTTAGTAGAGACAGGGTTTTGCCATGTTGGCCAGGCTGGTCTTGAACTCCTGACCTCAGGTGAACCACCCACCTTGGCCTTTCAAAGTGCTGGGATTAGAGGCACGGGCCACAGCGCCCGCCCAAAGGCAGTTTTTTTTCACCCAATTTTTTCAGTACTACCTAATCATGGTTTCCCCCAGGCCCTGCTAACAGTCTCCTCCCGTGTTTCTGGCCTCCAGCCCCAGACTGTCAGCACACTGCGTCTTAGGTGTTGGTTCTGCCAGCACCTGTCTTAGATGAGGCTGCTGTGTCAAAATTCCACAGACCAACTGGCTTCATAGCAGACATTTATTTCTCCCAGCTCTGCAGGCTGGGAGTCCAGCCTCCAGGTGCCACAGACCCAGTTCCTGGGGAGGGACCGCCCCTGGCTTACGGACAGCAGCCTCTTGCTCACGTAGCCGTCCCCATGCCTGCTCCTGGAGAGGAGGCTCCGGTGTCTCCTCCCATGAGGGTGCTCATCTCATCGTGACGATCCCCCAGGATCTTCTCTCACCTGCTCCCCTCCCAAAGGCCCCACCTCCAACACCGTCTTACTGGGGGTTAGGACTTTCACATGTGAACTGGAGGTGGGGGGCAAATATTCAGTCCATAGCAGCCCCCACTTTGGTACCCAGTGTCTCTATTAGAACTTGCTGGGTAATGGCCCACCCAAACACCTGGTGGCTCAGAACCGCAGGGACACGGTGCTCCTGTGGCTGCAGGTGCGAGGGCCCGAGTCCTGGCCTCCCCGGGACCTGTTCCTTGGCTGTGCTCGGTTGCTCGGGGCTGCTGCGGTCCTGCATCCCCCAGGAGAGCCCTTCTGAGGTCACGGTTGCAGAAGGAAGCCCGTCTGATGCAGGCAGAGAGGAGAAAATTGGTACCTAAAGCATCTGACAGAAAAGGAAAAAAAATCCAAAAGAAACCATTTAGAATAGACTCAAAGGACATAACATACCTGGGACTGCACCTGAGGTGCTCACTTAGGTGATATTTAGGAAAGATGTGTAAGATTTCTACATGTAAACTTAGAGATGGGATGTTGTTATTACAAATTTTTCTAAGCCAGGGTCACCCATGCTGGAGGGCAGTGGTACAGTCACAGCTCACTGCAGCCTCAACCTCCCGGGCTCATCCTCCAGCCTTAGCCCCCCGGGGGACTACCGGTGTGCACCACCATGCCCGGCTGTTTTTTTTTTTTCTTCCTTGTTTTGATGGAGACAGGGTCTCACTATGTTGCCCAGGCTGGTGAGATGGAGCGTTGCTCACAGACATGTAAAAACTCTAACAATGGCGGGTGTGCCCATCCGTGAATGGAGCAGGGGGTATCGGGAAGGCGTCGGGGCTCCCGGTTACTGTCAGTCGCCCGCGAAGCCCAAGCAGCAGCCACTCTGTTCTTGTGATCATGGCTGAGTGGCATCCACAGTGTGAGTCTCCACCTGGCCCATTAGCCAGCTCTGGCTGCAGGGCCTGTGCGCCCTTTTTCGTCTGGGCAGCAGTGAATGAGGTTGCTCTAAGTCCCTCCCTGCTCTTGGTGCACTTCAGAGCGGGCTCCCCAGGCCACAGGGTAACAGGAGAGGCTGAGTATGTGGCATCCTCCGTCACAGAAACGCGTCTCGCACCAGCACACACAGCTGGCTTTCCCACTACTGTTGCCCGTCGATGGCACCACCCAGCTTTTCTCTGCCTGAGGTTGGTATCTGTCCATCTGGGGTTTCTACTCTGCATGTTTCATCTTTTCTTTTCTTTGAGATGGAGTTTCACTCATTGCCCAGGCTGGAGGATAATGCCATAATCTCAGCTCACTGTAACCTCCGCCTCCCGGGTTTAGATGATTCCCCTGCCTCAGCCTCCTGAGCAGCTGGGATTACAGGCGCACGCCACCACGCCTGGCTTATTTCTGTATTTTGAGTAGAGACAGGAATTCACCACGTTGGCCAGGCTGGTCTTGAACCCCTGACCTTAAGTGATCCACTTGCCTCAGCCTCCCAAAGTGCTGGAATTACAGGCATGAGCCACCACACCCGGCCATGTTTTATCTTTTATCCAGGTAGTCTGTGACTATCCAAACGAGGCTCTGACAGTTTGCAGAGATCGTGTCAGTCTGAAGAGAGCTGGGTTAAAGGCAGGTTGTTCGGGGTGAGAAGGGGACAGTGAGGCAGCAGGTGGTCGCAGTCTCACGTCTCAGAAGGATGCGCTGAGCAGGCCCAGGGTTTTGGGCAAGTGAGGTCCACAGCCCTCTAATGAGTACCTTTAGAGGCCACTGGCCTGCAAGTTCTGATGACGGGGACCGCCTTAGGGGCCTCTCCCTGGAGCTCCCACTCGCCCCCTCGCCCCTCCCCCTGCTCTGTCCTGAGCTGTGGGTTGGGAGATGTTTCTGGACGGGACCAGACCCCACAACCTGGAGAGCCAGCTCTGGACTCAGAATTCCTGGGCTTAACGTCCAGGCATGAAGTCAGCTCCTTGTGTGTGTCTGTACAGTGAGGGAAGGGCCTATCTCCACCATCTCCTGCGAGGACAGACTCTGAGGTGACGTGGGTCGGGCCTGCACCCTCCGTGGCTTCCTTTCTGGAGTCTGGGCCTCCACGGCCAATGCCCTCATTTTCTGTGGAGCTGTTCAATGTCCACATTGACATTGTGGCCTCTCTGGGAGCACAGGTGGGGACATGAGAGCCTCAGGGCCCCTGGAGTTGTTCTGTCACAGGTCCGGGAGGAGCTGGACCGGCTGCCTGAGCCCCTTGGGGCAGCGGCTTCCCAGCCACAGTGCGAGAGACTCGGGCCTGGAGCACCGAGGGCCCCACGGCAGGAGGGGTGGGGGTGCAGCCTCCAGGGTGTTGGGGTCCTCTCGCCTGAGCAGTGGCCTCACACAGGGGGCTGCCAGCTGCCTCATGGGGTGGGTGGGAGCCCCAGTGTGAGGGAGACAGCTGCAGAGGCAGCCCTGAAAGCAAAGCATGGAGCAGATGGCAGAGGGTCCCGCTTGGCAGAGGAGAGGGCAGCAGAGGGTCCCACGTTGTGGGTGGCAAGCTGCCCAGGTGCTGAGGCAAGAGACCGAGGGCACAAGCTGTTCCAGTATAATAAAGAAAATATAGGGAAGCTCGAACTGGGCAGAGTCCACTGCAGCTCAGGGAGGCCTGCCTGCCTCTGTAGACTCCACCTGTGGGGACAGGGCACAGCCAAACAAAAGGCAGCAGAAACTTCTGCAGACTTAAATGTCCCTGTCTGACAGCTTTGAAGAGAGCAGTGGTTCTCCCAGCACAGAGTTTGAGATCTGAGAATGGACAGACTGCCTCCTCAAGTGGGTCCCTGGCCCCCGAGTAGCCTAACTGGGAGGCCCCCCCAGTAGGGGCAGACTGACGTCTCACACGGCCGGGTACCCCTCTGAGATGAAACGTCGAGAGGAACAATCAGGCAGCAACATTTGCTGTTCAGCAATATTCGCTGTTCTGCAGCCTCCACTGCTGATACCCAGGCAAACGGTCTGGAGTGAACCTCCAGCAAACTCCAACAGACCTGCAGCTGAGGGTCCTGACTGTTAGAAGGAAAACTAACAAACAGAAAGGACATCCACACCAAAACCCCATCTATACATCACCATCATCAAAGATCAAAGGTAGATAAAACCACAAAGATGGGGAAAAAAACAGCAGAAAAGCTGAAAATTCTAAAAATCAGAGTGCCTCTCCCCCTCCAAAGGAACACAGCTCCTCGCCAGCAGCAGAACAAAGCTGGACAGAGAATGACAGAGAATCCAGCAGCACATCAAAAAGCTTATCCACCATGATCAAGTGGGCTTCATTCCTGGGATGCAACGCTGGTTCAACATACGCAAATCAATAAACATAATCCATCATATAAACAGAATCAGACAAAAACCACGATTATCTCAATAGATGCAGAAAAGGCCTTTGACAAAATTCACCAGCCCTTCATGCTAAAAACTCAATATGTTAGGTATTGATGGGATGTATCTCAAAATAATAAAAGCTATTTATGACAAACCCACAGCCAATATCATACTGAATGGGCAAAAACTAGAAGCATTCCCTTTGAAAACTGGCACAAGACAGGGATGCCCTCTCTCACCACTCCTATTCAACATAGTATTGGAAGTTCTGGCCAGGGCAATCAGGCAGGAGAAAGAAATAAAGGGTATTCAATTTGGAAAAGAGGAAGTCAAATTGTCCCTGTTTACAGATGACATGATTGTATATCTAGAAAACCCCATCATCTCAGCCCAAAATCTCCTTAAGCTGATAAACAACTTCAGCAAAGTCTCAGGATACAAAAATCAATGCGCAAAAATCACAAGTATTCTTATACACAACAGACAAACAGAGAGCCAAATCATGAGTGAACTCCCATTCACATTGCTTCAAAGAGAATAAAATACCTAGGAATCCAACTTACAAGGGATGTGAAGGATCTCTTCAAGAACTATAAACCACTGCTCAATGAAATAAAAGAGGGCACAAACAAATGGAAAAACATTCCATGCTCACGGATAGGAAGAATCAATATCGTGAAAATGGCCATACTGCCCAAGGTAATTTATAGATTCAATGCCATCCCCATCAAGCTACCAATGACTTTCTTCACAGAATTAGAAAAAAACTAAAGTTTATATGGAACCAAAAAAGAGCCCGCATTGCCAAGTCAATCATAAGCCAGAAGAACAAAGCTGGAGGCATCACACTACCTGACTTCAAACTATACTACAAGGCTACAGTAACCAAAACAGCATGGTACTGGTACCAAAACAGAGAGGGAGACCAATGGAACAGAACAGAGTCCTCAGAAATAATACCACACATCTACAACCATCTGATCTTTGACAAACCTGACAAAAACAAGAAATGGGGAAAGGATTCCCTATTTAATAAATGGTGCTGGGAAAACTGGCTGGCCATATGTAGAAAACTGAAACTGGATCCCTTCCATACACCTTATACAAAAATTAATTCAAGATGGATTAAAGACTTAAATGTTAGATCTAAAACCGTGAAAATCCTAGAAGAAAACCTAGGCAATACCATTCAGGACATAGGCATGGGCAATGACTTCATGTCTAAAACACCAAAAGCAAAGGCAACAAAAGCCAAAATTGACAAATGGGATCTAATTAAACTAATGAGCTTCTGCACAGCAAAAGAAACTACCATCAGAGTGAACAGGCAACCTACAGAATGGGAGAAAAATTTTGCAATCTATTCATCTGACAAAGGGCTAATATCCAGAATCTACAAAGAACTCAAACAAATTTACAAGAAAAAAACAAACAACCCTATCAAAAAGTGGGCAAAGAATATGAACAGACACTTCTCAAAAGAAGACATTTATGCAGCCAACAGACACATGAAAACATGCTCATCATCACTGACTATCAGAGAAATGCAAATGAAAACCACAATGAGATACCATCTCACACCAGTTAGAATGGCGATCATTAAAAAGTCAGGAAACAACAGGTGTTGGAGATGATGTGGAGAAATGGGAACACTTTTACACTGTTGGTGGGAGTGTAAACTAGTTCAACCATTGTGGAAGACAGTGTGGCAATTCCTCAAGGATCTAGAACTAGAAATACCATTTGACCCAGCCATCCCATTACTGGGTATATACCCAAAGGATTATAAATCATGCTGCTATAAAGACACACACACATGTATGTTTGTTGTGGCACTATTCACAATAGCAAAGACTTGGAACCAACCCAAATGTCCATCAATGATAGACTGGATTAAGAAAATGTGGCACATATACACCATGGAATACTATGCAGCCATAAAAAAGCATGAGTTCATGTCCTTTGTAGGGACATGGATGAAGCTGGAAACCATCATTCTCAGCAAACTATTGCAAGGACAAAAAACCAAACACCACATGTTCTCACTCATGGGTGGGAACTGAACAATGAGATCACTTGGACACAGGAAGGGGAACATCACTGGGGCCTATTGTGGGGAGGGATAGCATTAGAAGATATACCTAATGTAAATGACGAGTTAATGGGTGCAGCACACCAACATGGCACATGTATACATATGTAACAAACCTGCACATTGTGCACATGTACCCTAGAACTTAAAGTATAATTTTTAAAAAATTTTTAAAATAGAATAATAGTTATACTAGAAATAGATTATAGATATATGAATATTATTAATCATCCATTTGTAGCATTACTTTTTATTCCAATATAATAATAATCCTTGCTCTACAATTATAACCTAGGAAAAACCAGGCCATACAGAGATAGGAGCTGAAGGGGCACAGTGAGCCGTGACCAGAAGTGTGAGCCCTCTGTCATGCCCGGACGTGGCCACTAGAGGGCTCCTTGGTCTAGCGGTAATACCAGTGCCTGGGAAGGCACCCGTTACATAGCAGACCATGGTCTAGCGGTAGCACCAGTGCCAGGGAAGGCGCCCGTTACTTAGCAGACCGAGAAAGGGAGTCTCCCTTTCCCCGGGGGAGTTAGAGAAGACTCTACTCCTCCACCTCTTGTGGAAGCCGCAGCCTCCAAAGGCCTAACGGCCTCCCTGTGATGCTGTGCTTCAGCGGTCACGCTCCTGTTTCACTTGCAGGTTCCGCCCTGTACACCTGGTCTGCCTTCTAGATAGCCGTAGCAGAATCAGTGAAAGTACCAAAAACCTTTGAAATGCACAGAAGAAATAATGGCATAAGCTGTCCTCTCTCTCTGCCTCAGCTGCCAAGTAGGGAAGGGCCCCCCTGTCTGGTGGACACGTGACTTGCATGACCTTACCTATCACTGGAGACGACTCACACTCCTGATACTGCCCTTTTGCCTTGTATCCAATAAATCACAGCGCAGCCAGGCATTCGGGGCCACTACCGGCCTCTGCGTCTTGGTGGTGGTGGTCCCCCGGGCCCAGCTGTCTTGTCTTGTCTTTGTCTTGTGTCTTTATTTCTACGATCTCTCATCTCCGCACACAGGGAGAAAAACGCACAGACCCTGTAGGGCTGGTCCTTACACCGCCTGGCAGAGGAGAGAGCGGCAGAGGGTCCCGCGTGGCAGAGGGTGGCAGAGGGTGCTGCGTGGCAGAGGAGGGGGCCGCAGAAGGTCCAGCATGGCAGAGGAGGGGACCACAGAGGGTCCTGCGTGGCAGAGGAGAGGGCAGCCGACAGGCAGCTCTGGGAGGATACAGGGTTAGGAAACTGAGGCAGGAAGCCATCATAAGAGCTACATACAGAGAGTGTGGATGTGATGAAAACTAAACAGGGGCCACTGGGCTTAGTGACCAGGCAGTAACTGTGCCCTTCCTGAGTTCCAGGCACTGAAGAACTTGGTGAAGAGTCCAGGCCCCTGCTGAGAGGGTGGCGTGTGCACAAATGTAGTATCCTTGCCGAAGGTGCTCAGCCTCAGAGCACACGAAGGTGTTTCTCCTCCCCCGTCGAGCAGGAACCCGGGGTCCAGGCTCGGACGCTGATTGGATGTGACAGCCCAGCGGACTCCGTGCTGGGGGGTGGAGGCAGTGCTTCAAAGGACAGGGCAGGTGTCAGGGACTCTTCTTTCTCTTTGAGATGGGGTCTTGCTCTGTTGCCCAGGCTGGAGTGCAGGGGCACAATCACAGCTCACTGCAGCCTCAACCTCCACTCAAGTGATCCTCTGGCCTCAGGCCTCTAAAATGCCAAGATCCCAGGTGTGAGCCACTGTGCCTGGCCTGGGGACTTTTTCTATAGTGACGCACAAACACTTCACACAACATTTTATTGTACAAAATTCCCCAATACTGCTTTAATAGTGAAAAAAAAAACCACATACACAAAAGAAGTTTCAACACAGACACAGCTCGTCATTAGAATTCAAAGTCTTCTCCTGCCATGGCGAGAGCCCAGGCGAACCTCTCCCGCTGTGTTTTGCTGTAGATCTTCTCCACTGGCACCCTGAATCGCTTGCACCTGTGGGAGGCAGTGTCAGCCCGGGCAAGCGGGCAACTCACCCACCTTGAAGGCCAGGTCAGGGCACTGGGGAAGGGCGAGCGTCCTCCATGCGGCAGGGTCACCAGAGCCGGCTGGGGTAGCTGGGGCCTGCTCCTCTAGGCCTGCCCCACCCCACACATGCCGCCACCCTGGAGCATCAGCGAGGTGTCAAAGACAACCTGCTGTGGCCCAGGTGTCCACTGAGCAGGGCGCCCAGCCACCTTACACTCCCAGTGGGCAGGCTGAGCTCCACAGGCCCTGCTGATGACGCCGAGTCCCAGGCCACTGTCAGCACCCCCACCTCACCCTGTCCATCCCAACGTTCAGGGCAGGGAGAACTGATGACACAGGACGCAGCATCAGGGGTCCCTGTCACAGGGAGGGCCTGCGCTGACCCCAGGGGACAGGAGCAATGCTGGGACTGAACAGAGGCTTCTGGAAAACCCAGGCCTCCCGGAGGCCACAGGCACACGTACCAGGCAATGCTGATCCTGGGGTCCAGGTAGTTGAGCTTGGACGTGCTGAGAGCCACCTGCTTGTTCTCCTCCTTGTCTGTGGCCTGCACACTCAGCCACGCCAGCTGCTCCTGCAGCTTCTCCAGGAGCCGCCTCTTCTTCTCCAGGACACTGGCAAGAGAAGAGGCTGCGAGGCCCCGCGCTGGACTAGTGCCACCTGAGGAGACCGGCACTTCTCCAGCCCTGCCACCTTCCCTCCCGGTGCAGCCCCGTCCTTAGCACTGTCGTCAGCCATCACAGCAAAAGACCAGCCAGGATCAAAGGCTGAAGCCCAGCCCCACCCCACCTGCCAAGTCAGATACAGAGGAGCACCCTGGGCAGAGGATGAGCAGCCCATCAGGACCTGACTCGCAGGAGGGTGAGCAGCCCGTCAGCACCTGACTCAAAGGAGGGTGAGATGCTCGACACAACAGACCGAGGCCGGCCCAAACAGGACGAGGAGGCAGCGAGACTAGGCCCGAGAAAGCAAACACAAATGCCCTTTCACTTCCAGGAAGCCGCTCAGCCCTCCTTCCTGACCCCTTAGGGAAAGCAAATTTCAACACAGAGACACCCCTTCCACATTACTTGTACCCTCCAATGCCACAACATCACCCATGCACGCAACCTTTGACCCCAACTCTTCTAGGAATTTTTGCCACAAACACACTCAAACATGTGTGGAAAGACACTTGCACCTGCAGAAATACGGCCGAGAAGGGTGCAGCCCGCCGAGCCGGAAGCATAGGCCCTAGGAAGTGCCTTCCCAGCATGAGTCACATCCCCAAGGGCAGAGGGGCACATGAGGGGCTGCTGTTTATGTGAAAAAAAGGAGGGAAAACAGAGGGAGAGCCAGCATGCACACACAGTCCTTCTGGAAATGCTTAAGAAATTTCTTTTGTCTTTTTTTTTTTTTTTTTGAGACGGAGTCTCACTTTGTCACCCAGGCTGCAGTGCAGTGGCACAATCTCGGCTCACTGGAACCTCTGTCTCCCAGGTTCAAGTGATTCTCCTGCCTCCTGAGTAGCTGGGACTACAGGCATGTGCCACCACGCCCGGCTAAGTTTTTTTGTTTCTTTTTTTTTTTTGTATTTTTAGTAGAGATGGGATTTCACCATGTTGGCCATGATGGTCTCAAACTCCCAACCTCAAGTGATCTGCCTGCCTCGGCCTCCCAGAGTGTTGGGATTACAGGTGTGAGCCACCGTGCCTGGCCAGGAAATGCTAAAGAAATTTCACAGCAGCTGCCTCTGGGGACAGGTCAGGGGTGGGTCACAGCCTTATTTTTCACTGAATACCCTTTGATCCAATGGACATTTCCTTCACACATGCCACTATTAAAAACAGACCCCTGCATCTCAGGATGCTCGTCCTGAAGAGAAAAGTTTTACCCTTTAAGAACCACAGCCATGCCAGGAACAGTGGCTCACACCTGTAATCCCAGCACTTTGGGAGGTCGAGGCGGGCGGATCACGAGGTCAGGAGATTGACCATCCTGGCTAACATGGTGAAACTCTGTCCCTACTAAAAATACAAAAATTAGCCAGGCGTGGTGGTGTGCACCTATAATCCCAGCTACTCAGGAGGCTGAGGCAGAAGAATTGCTTGAACCCAGGAGGCGGAGGATGTGGTGAGCCAAGATGGCACCATTGCACTCCAGCCTGGGTAACAGAGCGAGACTCCATCTCAAAAAAAAAAAAAAAAAAAGAACCACAGCCACAATAATGAGGAATGAATGAAAGAGGGAACATCACAAAGAAAGAAAAAAGATAATATGGGAATACTGTGAATAACTGGGCACCGGCCAGTTAAGACACCCTAGACTAAACAAATTCCCAGAAAGATACAAACCACCAGAACTGACTCACGAAGTATAGAAAATATGAGAACTAGAACATGTGATTGTATCAGTAACTTTAAACTTCTCCCAAAGAAAACCCCAGGCCTAGATGGTTTCACCAGTGAATTCATTTAACAAACTGACCCTAGCCACACACAGCAGTGCAAGCCTATAGTCTCGGCTATTTGGGAAGCTGAGGTGGGAGGATTGCTTGAGCCCAGGAGTTCAAGACCAGCCTAAGCAACACAGCAAGACTCTCTCTCTTTAAAAAGGCACCAATTTTTCATAAACTTTCATGAAATATTAGATATTATATTAAATATTATTCAACTCATTACCAGCATTACCTGATACCAAAATCAATGACATCATAAGAAAACTATAGACTAACATGCTCATGAATACAGAAGCAAAAACCTCAACAAAATATCAGCAAACTGAATCCAGCAATGGACAAAAATGATTACACAATAGGATCAAGTAGGATTTATCCCAGGAATGCAAGGATGGTTTCATATCTGATAATCAATTAGTATAATACATCCTATCAATATAAGGAAGGGACAAAAACAAGATCTCAACAGGTGCAGAAAAACCATTTGACAAAATCCAGTGCTCTTCATGATTAAAAAAGACCTCAACAAACTAGGAATAGAAGTAAATTTTGTTAACTTGACAAACAGCTTCTGTGAAAAACCTACAGTTAACATCATATTCCGTGATAAAAGCATGAGAATTTTGCCCCCAGTATCAGGAACAAGGCAAGGATGCCCCACTCATGTCCGGTGTACTGGAGATTCCTACTAGGTCCATAATGCAAAAATATGAAATAAAAGGCATATGATTGGAAAAGAAGTAAAACTATCTCTGTTTGCATACAATATGGCCTTTATAGATACAGTCCTAAGGGCCAGGCATGGTGGCTCATACTTGTAATCTCAGAGCTCTGGGAGGCCAAGGCAGGATTGCTTAAAGCCAGGAGTTCAAGAGTAGCTTGGGCAACATACAAAAATTTTCTTAGTGTAAAAATTAGCCAGGTGTGGCGGTTCACACCTGTGGTCCCAGCTACTTAGGAAGCTGAGACATCTGGCTGTCCACATACAAGAGGATGACCCTGGGCCCTTCCCTCAGATCACACACAAAAATTAACTCAGAACCAATGACCCAAATGTAAGAGTAAACCTATAAACCTCTTAGGAGAAAACAGAGAAATCTATCTTTAGGGCCTTGGGTTAGGCAAAGCCTTCTCAGACGTGACACAAAAATAAGCTACAAAAGAAAAAAAAAACCACAGATAAACTGGACTCATTCTAATCTTAAAATGTGTCACAGGATACCAACAAGAAAGAACAAAGACATTGCCGGGCATTGTGGCTCATGCCTGTAATCCCAGCACTTTGGGAGGCCGAGGTGGGTGGATCACCTGAGGTCAGGAGTTCAAGACCAGCCTGACTGATATGGTGAAACCCCATCTCTACTGAATTACAAAATTAGCCAGGTGTAGTGGTGTGTGTCTGTAGTCCCAGCTACTAGGGAGGCTGAGGCAGGAGAATTGCTTGAACCCAGGAGGCAGAGGTTGCAGTGAGGCAAGATGGCGCCACTGCACTCTAGCCTCGGCGACAGAGCAAGACTCCATCTCAAAAAAAAAGAAGTGGGGGAGGGGTGGGCATGGTGACTCATGCCTGTAATCCCAGCATTTTGGAGGCCGAGGCGGGCAGACTGCCTGAGCTCAGGCGTTCAAGACCAGCCTGGGCAACATGGTGAAAGCCTGTCTCTACTAAAATACAAATAATTAGCTGGGCATGGTGGTGGCGCCTATAATCCCAGCTACTCAGGAGCCTGAGGCAGGAAAATTGCTTGAACCCAGGAGGCAGAGATTGCAGCGAGCCGAGATCACACCATTGTACGCCAGCCTGGGCGACAGAGCAACACTCTGTCTCCAAAGGAAAAGAAAAAAAAGAAAGAACAAAGACAACCCAAGAGTGGGAGAAACATGGACGAGCTCTGCCAAGTCAGTAATGACCACCCGACCAAAACATGGACAGAGGATCTGAGCAGTCATTCTCCAGAGACGATACAGAAACGGGCAACAAGCACCTGCCAAGAGCACCCGCGATCTGACCCACTTCACACCCACTGGGCTCTGATCGACACACGGAAAACTGACCCTACAGTGGCGCCGGGACAGAGGAGTCGGGGCCCTCACGTGCTGCTGGTGAGGAGGGGATGGTGCCACCGCCCTGGAGAAGAGTCTGGCACCTTCTTCTCATTTCCTGACCCCACAAAGACAAGCACAAACCTCAGCGGCCAGGGTCTTCTCCTCCCACGGCTCCGTATGTCCCACTCTTGTCCACAAGGCATAGAGTTTGTATTTTGAAAAATCACAAAGTTGGCCAGGTGCAGTGGCTCAGGCCTGTAATCCCAGCATTTGAGATGCCGAGTCAGGAGGATCACTTGAGGCCAGGAGTTTGACCAGCCTGGCCAACATGGAGAAACCCCGTTTCTACTAAATAAAGGAATTAACCGGGCATGGTGGTACACGCCTGTAATCCCAGCTACTTGGGAGGCTGAGGTAGGAGAATCACTTGAACCTGGGAGATTTTTATAAAAATAAAAAATCACAAAATAACAATTGAAGAGGAAACCAAAACTGGCCTTGGGAAGGCGGGTCCAAAGCTGCCACATCTGGTTTGGGACAGGGCCCCAGGAGAAGGCGTCTGAGGTCACGGGTGCTCACCTCCTGGACTTGCCATCCCCTTGGGCTTTGTGCTCGGCCCTGGCCTTCCTCAGCTCTGCCCTGGCCTCAGCCACCTGCTCCTTCTTCGCCTGGATCTGCAGGGAAAGGGTCCAGACAGGGCTGCCCCTCCCCGTCCTGCACCAGCCGCTGCGCCCACACCCTCCCACACCCTCCATGCCCACCGCGGCTGGCTCCCCGGCCTGTGCCGAGGCTCCGGGAATCGGGGAGGGGTCCCTGGAGGGCTGGGCTGGGGGCTCTCCTGGGAGCTGCTACCTTGGTCTGGAGATTCTGTATCGACTTCTCGAACGTGCTGGAGGTCGCTCGCTGATGGTTGCAGAGAATGGCCACGGCTCGGTTGGCTCGGTTGTAGGATAAGATCTTGGCTGCTATGCTGTCCTCAGCTGAGAGGCACGGGCTGTCAGAAGCAGCACCCACGGGGCGGCCGCCCTCCCTGTCTGCCCTGAGTCGGACTTAACGCGCCACACAGCACAGCCCCTTCCACTCACACAGGCACCCAATGGGATGGGGAGAGTGAGGGCCGAGGGTCAGTGACCCTCTGAGGTGGCCCCGAGAGCAGGGCCCAGCGTCTTTAACCACAACAAGGCCTCGGGTGTGGCCACAGCACAGGTAGCACCACCCAGGCCTTCCAAAGCCCTGTAGCAAGAAGGAGGCCCAGCCACCTGGACAGGTGAGTCTGCAGGGCCCTGCCTGTCACAAGTCCTCAGCACCTGGCTTTCCCTGGCAACATCCCCCCAAGGTACCATGTGGTCTCCATTTTCCAGTCAGGAACGAGATTCAGAGAACGTAAGCACTGGCACCTGCTGGAGCGGCCACTCCTTCACGCCCCTCCTGCACAGCCCACCCAGCTGTGGAAGTGCGTCCGCAGGGAGCCCAGCACCTTCATTTCCTCTCCCAGGCCCAGCCTCGGCCCCTATGTCCTCACCCAGAATCTCCTGCCTCCCTCGGTGGAGGGAGCATCTCTGCTGGGGCTCTCACCTGGATGCCAGCTAGCTCCTTCACATCCCACAGCCCAACGCTGCCTCAGCTCCCAAGGGTGTCCCCAGGGCAGCACAGCACCGGCCTCTGAGGCCCATAGGTGCACACAAAACACATGCCGAGTGTCAGCGCCCCTGAGTGCCTGGACTCGGTGCCTCCTCCAGGAAGCCCTGCTTGGGGAATACGGAGGGCACCGGGGTGGGAGGCACCCCCTGGATGAGTCTGTGCGTCTGATCTGCCCGGACATCACGGAGCAGCCCGGACATCACCACGGAGCAGCCTGGACATCACGGAGCAGGGGCAGCGCCAAGGGCAGAGGGAGGAGAGGCCCTCGCCGAGCTCAGACGGCATCCCCAGGTTGATGGCAGGGGACTAAGAGCAGAAGCTCGAAGCTCTAAGCTCTAAGAGCAGAAGCTGAGGCAGGGGCTGCAGACAGAGGCCCAGAGGTCAGGGTGCTCAGACAGCTGAGGGCGGGAGGGGCAGAACCACCGGAAACTGCAGAGGCTTCCTGGGCCTTCAAGGAAGAACCCTGAGGAGGAGCTGAGGAACAACACCAGGCCTGGCCACGGGGGCCAGGGTAGGACTCAGCAGCAGGGGCTCCCCGCAGGGAGCACATGGCTGGGATGCCTGGGGTCCCGAGGACCAGCACTTCCCTCCTCCTCCCCAGGACTGCAGCCACCCAGGCCGCCAAGCAGCCAGCCCACAGCCTCAGCCCATGTCCCAAAGAAGCGGCCCCACCCCGAGGCTCACTCAACAAGGGCCAGCAGGGGAGCCCTGCCTGGGGCAAGGGCCACGCTCCCTGGCCTGAGTGTGGGTGCGGGGCCTGCTCACCACGTGTCAGGGCCCGCAGCTGCTCCTGCAGAGTGACGGAGGCGTTGTAGGTCCGGAACACCTTGGCCGTCAGCCCGTCCATCAGCTCGTGGAGGTATTTGTTCAGGATGGTCGTCTGGGGAGGAAATGGTCTCAATAATTACGTGGTTTTGTGGGGCCATCCCAGCCTCCCACGGAAAGGAAAGGGCATTTCAGCCATCGGGTCAGGCCAAACCCTGGGCCTTGCTATGAGAGATGGAGCCAGACTCAGCAGCCACATCCTCTCGTCGGGTCCTGCCACCGCCTACTGCTGAGGAAACACGAGCCGGCTTACGGTGAGCCTGTCGAACAGGTCGTCCTGGGGGTCCTTGTTCTTCATAAAGAGCTGTAAGTTCTTGTACACCTGAAGGAGGAAGAAGGAATTTCAGAGGACAGAAGAAACCCGAATCAAGGGAGGGCATGAAGGGCATCTACGCAGAGCCTGGAAGCCCACGGGAGGCTTCCCTGAGGAAGGCGGCCCGAGCAGCATCGCTGTCACCTGTCGGCATCCTCCCCCGACACGGTCCCTGCCCTCCAATGCGGCCGTCACCGCTAACACGTGTACGGGCGGTGTGCTCAGGAGGTGGGTGCAACTCCTGCCCTGCAGTTAGTTCCCCTGGGTGACCGCGGCAGGTGGCCCAGAGTCCCCAGCTCCTCCTTCCATCCATGCCGGATTTCCACCAGGTGACCCCACACCCTTGTAATGTGGGACACTCATCTGACATCACAGGACCTCAGGACCTTTGGGGTGCCCGTGTCCAACCTCCCTCCACCAGTCCCTTTGGGGAGAGGACACTCATTCCCTTCTGACGAGACCAACTCTGCTCCGAGGAAACACCAGCCTGCACCTGCGCCCGTGCCTGCCCTCCCCTTGGTTTCACCTGCTGGTCCTCCTCCCTGAGCGCTGGGCATCGGCTCCAGCGCGGAGGTTGCTGTGGCGTCTGCACTGCTCTCTCCAGCACTGGCATGGCAGCCCTCCCTCACCAGACACAGGCAGGAGGCCCCATACCCCCAGCTGACCCCCTTACCATCCTTGTACACAGCTGATGAACCCCATTCTACAAACCCACAGGCACCGGGACACGGCGGGAAGCCCCCGCCCACAGCTCCCGACTTCCGGCTTCTTCCCTCATCCTCCTCCACACACGTTTGGTTTCATACCGCTGATGCTGACGAGGCTTTACGTCCCGCCTTTTCTTTACACCACACGCATTCCATTACCGAGTGCTCCCCTCAACAGCACTGTAAATGGCCGGCTAGTCCTGTCTGGACGGAGTGCGACTCCCCGTCCAGGCCTGCACCGCAGCCGACGCTTCACCGTGGCAGGGGCGCTGCAGTGAGCGCCCCCTCGCCTCTTCCTTTTGTGTGTTGGCTTTTGTCTCCTACCTCCAATTAACTCATCCCTTAGGACTGACTTCCTGACCAGACTGCCTGAGGCCTGGCCCTGCCAGGGACTCCTGTTACTCTGCTGCCATTTCTGGTTTTGAACGGCTCCACTCCATCCCACAGTGGGCTCACATTACTCCATTTCTGGTTTTGAACGGCTCCACTCCATCCCACAGTGGGCTCACATTACTTTTTTGTTGTTGTTGTTGAATTTTTGGAGACTAGATCTGGCTCTGTCACCTGGACTGGAGTGCAGTGGCACGATCATAGCTCACTGCAGTCTCCAACTCCTGGGCTCCAGCGATCCTCTCACCTAGCCCTCCCAAGGTGTCTGGACTACAGGCATGGGCCTTGCGCCCAGCCTGAGTCACATTTGTGCTTGTGAGGTACAGGGAGGTCGTGCGTGGATCTGTCCAACGTCACTGCAATGTGGTGCCCACCCAGAGAGGGGATATCATCACTCTTCAGGACAGCCATTTAAAGGTGAGAATGCTCCCCAAACTCCAATCTTCCTTCAAGCCAGTCTGGAGACCAGAGATTTACCCAGCCCTTCCCGACCACACTCATTCCTCTGGGCATCGATGCTAGTGGAGCGAGGGGCTGTGGGGGTGGTGGGCAGCCACAGGCTTAAGTCCTGCCCATAGCCCCTGCAGCAGAGGAAAGCGGGCATGGTGGCAGCCCCTCCCAGGTGTACTGGGATGAAAAGTGTCCCCCAAATTCGTGTCCTCACCAGAACCTCAGAATGTACCTTTTTTTTATTTTTATTTTTTTAAGACCAGGTCTCGGCCAGCCGCAGTGGCTCACGCCTGTAATCCCAGCACTTTGGGAGGTTAAGGCAGGTGGATCACAAGGTCAAGAGTTCAACACCAGCCTGGCCAACATGGTGAAATCCTGTCTCTACTAAGAATACAAAAATTAGCTGAGCATGGTGGCGGCGCCTGTAGTCCCAGCTACTCGGGCAGGAGAATTGCTTTAACCCAGGAGGCGGAGGTTGCAGTGAGCCGAGATTGCACCACTGCACTCCAGCCTGGGCAACAGCACAAGACTCTGTCTCAAAAAAAAAAACAACAAAACAGGGTCTCATTTTGTCACCCAGGCAGGAGTGCAGTGGAGCAATCAAGGCTCACCACAGCCTCAACCTCCCAGGCTCAGGCAATCCTCCCACCTCAGCCTCTGGAGTAACTGGGACCACAAGCATGCACCATCACGCGCAGCTAATTTTTATTTATTTATTTTGAGACAGAGTCTTGCTGTCGCCCAGGCTGGAGTGCAGTGGCACGATCTCGGTTCACTGCAAGCTCTGCCTCCCGGGTTCACGCCATTCTCCTGCCTCAGCCTCCCAAGCAGCTGGGACTACAGGCACCCACCACCACGCCCGGTTAATTTATTGTATTTTTAGTAGAGACGGAGTTTCACCATGTTGACCAGGATGGTCTCGATCTCCTGACCTTGTGATCCGCCCACCTCGGCCTCCCAAAGTGCTGGGATTACAGGCGTGAGCCACCGTGCCCGGCTGTTTTTTTAATTATTATTTTAGAGACAGGGTCTCATTATGTTGCCCAGGTGGTCTCAAACTCCTGGGCTCAAGTGATCCTCCCCCCTCAGCCTCCCACAGCACTGGAATTACAGGAGTGCACCACCATGCCAGGCCAGAATGTGACCTTATGTAAAAATAGGGTCTTTAGAGACTGTTACAACGAACGCATAGAAAGAGTGGGGTGGGCCCTAACTCCAATACGACAGCGTCCTTGTGAGAAGACACAGAGGCAGAGACGCAGCGAGAGGCAGCCTCAGACCAAGGACACCCAGGATCCGCGGTCCCACCGGATGCTGGGAAGGCAGGAGGATCCTCCCCGAGTGTGGGGAGAGTGCAGCTCTGCCAGCACCTTGACTCGGACTCTGGCCCCCAGGACTGAGTGACAATAAATGTCTGTTGTTAAACCACTGGGTCTGCAGTGCCTTCCTCCAGCAGCCCTGGGAGATGCTCCGGCCGGGGGGGGCAGGAGACAAAGCTGGTGTGACAGAGGCACCCTGCTCAGCCCCCAACCAGCTCCACTTGTGACTCCTTGGGTCTACCATGGGGCATAGCCTCCTTCACCCTCACCCTCATCAGCCCCAGCACCGGCGGGCCTCACCCATGTGGAGATGGCAAATGGGCCACAGACCGCAGCTCAGCCACAACCCAAAGACATCCAAGGCAAATCGTGTCACGTAGGGAGGAGCAACCCCGACGCCAGGCACTCCTGAGCTTCTCACGAGACTCTGTTGTCTAGCGGATGGAGTCCTTCCCCAGGAAGTCAAATTCCACCACCGTGCAACAGCCGTCAGCCTCCGGATGCAGCTGGGAGCGTGCTCCACCTTGGAGGCAGCCTACGGTGTCGGCCGCCTCACCGTCCTCCTTCTCATTTCCGCTCTGGCGCCAGCTGTTTGGTGGGGAACAAGTGGGTGGGGGCATGCACATGCACGCCACACACAGGCACGCCAAGGCCATACACACACAGGCACGCCACACACCACAGGCACGCCACACACGGGCACGCCACAGATGCACGCCACACACATGCACAGTACACACACGCACACACCACACACGCCACGCCACACACACGCCGCCACACACACGCACAGTACACACACACGCACCACACGCCACACGCACGCCACACACACGCACCACGCACGCCACACACACGCCGCCACAGCCACGCCACACTGCACGCCACACACATGCCGCCTACACGCACGCCACACACCACGCCACACACACGCACACCACACACAGTACACACATGCACACACCACACCATGCATACATGCCACACACACGCCACGCTTCCACACACACGCACAGGCCCACACTGCATGCACGCCACACACACGCACGCCACACACACCACGCACAGTACACACACGCACGCCCCACACGCACACCACCGCACACCAAACACGCACGCCACACACCATACGCCACACACCTGCCTTTGAGTACACACATGCATACACACACATGCACAGTACACACATGCACACCACACACGCCCGCCACACACACGCACAGTACACACACGCACGCCACACGCACACACATGCACCACACATGCACACCACACACGGACCACACACAGCCACACAGCACGCACACGCCACACACACACAGTACACACACGCACACACACACATGCACACACACATGCACCACACACACACGCACACGCCACACATGCCATACCACACATGCACGCCACACCCACGCCACACACACAGTACACACACGCACACCACACACATGCACACCACCACGCTACGCACGAAGGTACACACACATGCGCCACACACAGCAGCACACACACACGCACAGTACACACCTTTTACCACACACACGCACACCACACACACGCACACCAAGTGCGCTGCGCCCACACCGCCGCCACACGCACACCACACACATGCACACCACACACGCTTTACACCACACACATGCACAGTACACATACACACACACACATGCACAGTCCATATGCCACACACATGCCATACACACGTACACGCCACACACACATAGCCACACACAGCACACACATGCACCACATGCACACCACACAGACCACACACTTCACATACCTTCACACACGCACAGTACACACCAGCACACCACCCTTTACCACATGCACACCACATGCACAGTACACATACAGTACCACCACCTGGGCATGCCACACCTGGGCTTCTGCAGCCACACCCAAACACGCCACATGCACACGCCACACACAGGCTGAAGCCACACACAGCCACCACACACAGTAACCACATGCCACAGCTGCCACACAGGCACCACACTGGCCACACCACACACATATGCCACACAGGCACGTCACACACATGCCACCACACACAGGCGCCAGTGCCACCGCCGCCACGCGCCAGCCCCGCCCCACGCCACACACGCATGCCACACACAGCACAGTACACACCAGCACCACACACACGCACACCACACGCACACCACACACAGGCACACCACACACCACACACACCACAGGCACTTCACACACCACACATGCACCACACCACACACCACACCTGTCACGCCACACACAGCCACAGTACACACAGGCACACACACAGGCCACAGTACACACACATGCACACGACACACAGTTATGCCACATCACGCCACACAGGTTCACGCCACACACATGCCACGCCACCACAGGCCACGCCACCACACAGGCAGCCACACACATGTGCTGCACATGCACACCTACTGAGCACACCACACACAGGCACACCACACACAGGTGCGCACCACACGCACACCACACACCGCACCACCACACACGCACAGCACACACAGGCACAGCCCACACACGGGCACACACACAGGTGCACACACACACAGGTGCACACACAGGCACACACACACGGGTGCACCACACGCACACCACACACACGCACCACACACCACGCACACACCACCACGCTACACACCGCACACCACACACACACACACCACACACCACACACACACCACACACACACATGCACACCACACACAGGCACACACACACAGGCACACCACACACATGCACACCACACACATACCCACACAGGTGCACACCACCACGCACACCACACACACCACTTTCTGCCACACACACCACGCACACCACCTGCAGGTGCACACCACCGCACACCACACCCAGCACACCACACACACGCACACACACATGCACACCACACACACATGCACACCACACGCACACCACACACCACCTTTACACCTTTTACGGGCACACACACACAGGTGCACACCACACACGCACACCACACACACGCACACCACACAGGCACACCACACACACGCACACCACACACGGGTGCACACACCACCACGCACACCACACACCGCACACACACACCACGCACACCACACAGCCACACCACACACAGGCCACACCACACCGCACACACACTTTCACCACACGGGTGCACACCACACGCACCACACACCGCACCACCACCACACACAGGTGCACCACACGCACACCACACACAGCACACCACAGGCACACACCACACATGCACACCACACACATGCACCACACACACGCACACCACACCGCACACCACACACACAGATTGCTTCCCTGCACACCACACACAGGTGCACACCACCTTTTTCATACACACCACACACACACTTTTTCACTTTCACCACACACCGCACACCACACACAGGTGCACACCACCACTTTTACCACACTTTCAACACACACATGCACACCACACACAGGCACACCACACACATGCACACCACACACATGCACACACACACCCCACGCACACCACACACAGGTGCACACCACCACTTGCACCACCCACACCCTGCTTTCCCACACACCACTTTACACACATTACCACACACCATTTTTACACACAGGTGCACACCACACGCACACCACACACACGCACACCACACATGCACCACACGGGTGCACACCACACCACTTTTACACCACCTTTCCCCACAGTTGCACCACCTTACACTGCACACACACATGCTCACACAGGCACACCACACACCACACACCACACACAGGTGCACACCATACACCACACACCGCACACCACACACACAGAACACACACCACACCCACACACAGGTGCACACCACCGCACACCACACAGGCACCACAGGCAGCTTCCACATGCACACCACACCGCACACCACACCGCTGCACACCACACACACGCACACCACACACGCACACCACACAGGTGCACACCACCACATACACCACACACACGCACACACACACACCACCTTTCTAGCACACCACACACACGCACACCACACACAGGCACACACACACATGCACACCACACACACGCACACCACACACAGGTGCTACCACCTTCCCACACAGTGCACCACCACACGCACACCACATACACGCACACACCACACACACACAGGTGCACACCACACGCACACCACACACACGCACACCACACAGGTGCACACCACACGCACACCACACACACGCACACCACACATGCACACCACACACAGGCACACCACACACATGCACACCACACACGCACACACCACACGCACACCACACACAGGTGCACACCACACGCACACCACACACACGCACACACACACACGCACCACACACCACGTACACCACACACGGAGTGCACACCACACGCACACCCACACACACGCACACCACACACACGCACACCACACACATGCACACCACACACACACCACACACAGGTGCACACCACACACACGCACACCACACGCACACCACACACAGGCACCACCTGGGTGCACACACACACACCACCACACAGCACACACCACACACAGGCACACCACACACACGCACACCACACACAGGTGCACACCACACGCACACACACACACGCACACCACACACAGGCACACCACACACACAGCACCTACACACAGGTGCACACCACCGCTGCACCACACACACGCACACCACACACAGGCACACCACACACATGCACACCACACACACGCACACACCACACACGCACACCACACACAGGGTGCACACACGCACACCACACACACACCTTTCCACCCACACGGGTGCACACACACACCACACACCACACACAGCTTACACACACACACAGGCACACCACCACGCACACCACCACACCACACACAGGTGCACACACTACCACATACACACCACTGATTACACCACCGCACACACCACATGCACGCACACCACACACCTTGCACACGCACACCACCACCGCACCACACACACGCCACACACACCGCACACCACACCTTACACCACACACTTTCTCCACACACAGGCACACCACACGCACACCACATACATGCACACCACACACACGCACACCACACACACACGCTTTTACACACACGCACACCACCACCGCACACCACCACACACACACATGCACACACACACCGCACACCACACACACCACACCATGTGCCACACATGCACACACACCACAGGCACCTGCACACACGGGTGCACACCACACACATGCACACCACACACATGCACACCACACACACGCACACACACATGCACACCCCCGCACCACACACGCTTTACACATGCGCACACCACACACCGCACACCACACACCCAGGTGCACACCACCGCCACACACCACACACAGCACACCCACCTATGCAGCACACCACACACGCTGCTTCCACAGGCACACCACACACACATGCACACCACACACACGCACAGTACACACACATGCACACCACCACACACAGGTGCAGCACGCTGTGCATGCACACGTACACCACACCACATGCACCACACACGTGCACACCACCACACAGGCCGCCACACACATGCACGCCACACACATGCACACCACACACCGGAGCACACCACACACATACCACTTCACATGCAGTACCACGCACACCACACACGTGCACACCCATACAGGCATGCCACACCTGGTCACACCACAGACACGCCACACACACATGCACACACACCCACAATGCACATGCACACCCCTACACACACATTCACACCCACACACACGTGCACAGGCACACACACCTCCATCAGACTGCGGTTCACACACACCCCAGGCCCACATCACCACTGTTGCCTCAGCCTGGTGTCTGTGGGAGAAGCCTTTGGGATGAGGAGCTGCAGGGAGCGCGTGCCTTATCGAGTAAGAATACAGGCCGCCAGCTGTCTCGTCTTGTTTCCTGAGACTTCCAAGTCAGCCGATACAGGCGGATCTCGTCCACAAATCCCGCCAGGCGTCAGGCTGTTTCAAACTTCTGCCCAAGCTTTCTCTCCCTAAATGAAAAAATAACTGGGAAGAAGCAGTCGGCCATTCCTGTTAAATAATGGAGGAGGTTGTCAACTCTCCCTGCTTTCAAACCTCGTGCTTCTCCACTCGATGGTGGAGTGGTCAGGGGCTGGGGCAGCAAATCCAGCTGGGTGATGCTGGCAGTGAGCACCCACGTCCACTCCTGTCTTTGGGGCTTGTGGCTGCTGGCACAGCATGACTCCAGCGCAGGCTGGCCGACTCCCAGCCCATCTCAGAAGCCTCTGCCGGTGCCGGCCACACCTCCTGCCAGCGTCCTAAGAGGAGACCTCCCGAGGAGAAACACCCTGCCAAGCCCTGCGCTCACCTTCAGCTTGAGCAAGGGTTCAGCATGATGTACTTGACGGAGTTCTAGATATACTCCTGAGTCCCACGCTGCCAGCCACATGACAGTGTTATCGGGCGCACCTCTCCTTCCACTGGTGCCCCGCCGGCGGCTCGGGGGGATCTTCGAGTCCTGCAGCAGAACAATGACTTCCAAACATAACTTGGAGACCTTATTCTCTGGAATGCAAGCAAAAGAGGCACTCCACAATCCAGCACCACTTGGTGGCCATGGTAGTGGCATGGCTCCTGACCGAGTCTGGCATCAGAGGTGGCCTGCCTGGCAGCTCAGACAAAAGCAGCCGCTCAATCTGCCCTCTGCACACACATAAGGAAGGCCCACGGTGCACCGGGAGGCTAGGCGGCCACCCAAGCAAGGGATCATGTTCGAACCTCAGCACAACTGGGACGAAGAGGTGCCCTGCTCACCCCCACAGCACAGCCTGGCCATTGGAGGTCCTGCGGGGCAGGGTCCTACTCCACACTGCGTCACACGGTACAACACGCGGCCAGCAGTCCCTCTCCACCACTTGGAATGTCCCTCCAACAAGTTCAAAACACCTAATGCTACTGGGCTGTCCAGATCAGGTGGGATATATGAAAACCACACGGGGGTGTCCTTGGCGGGAGAAAGTCTCAGCACAGCAAGGTAGGGACTTCCCTGGCCCCGATGGTAGCACCCTGGGAGGGCCGCCCTTGCCGGCCACACCACAGGCTGAGCTCCACAGGAATGGTTTCTCGGTGTACCTGGGTGGCAGGGATCCAGCACCTGCCTGCTGCCACTTGGCTCCCACTTTTCTGCAGTTGATGATACATCTCACGGCACTGACCCTCCTCTTCAACATCCCCATCTTGGGATGGTCGCCTGACCACGGAACAAGCCAGGCGGCTCAGTCTTAAGTACCTATTACTTTTCTCATTTGACCATCCCAAAATGCAGTGGCGAACTCTTGCTGAAGTTTTTCACCTCTTCCTTGCTTCTGAGTTAATAAAACCGGTCAGTAGACATTACTTGATGAGGAGAAGAAGACGAGGCTCAGTCCCTTGTTGCTCACCCGGGACCACCACCCTGCTCACAGCTAACTCGGCTGGAGCCCTCAAAGCCCTTCATAATCCATGAGTCGCAGAGGCATAAAGGGGACAGTGCAGGTGGGCTTTTGGGGAGGCACCAGGGAGCCACGGCCCAACACCATGGTCTGGACGCCGGCTCGCAGGCTTCAGCTGTTTTAGGCCTCAGCCAGTAAAAAACCAGGTGGAGAAGGCGTGGCTGCCACGCCATGGAGGGCGAGGCTAAGAGTCCTGAGAAGGCCACGTGGAGATCACACCCGGCAGTTCCTGTTAGATGTAGGGAGGCGCATGGCACAGAACAGCGAGAAGCCGACTGGCCACAGCCCGCCCTCAGCCCACAACCCGTCTGGGAACCCACCCACCTTTTATCAATGATGGTAAATTACTCATCCATTTCAAAGCTGGGTTTACTCTCACAGCATGCTCTGGGGAAAGCAGGCGACACTTCAGCACACAGGGTGTGAAGGCTGCAGGAAACCAAAGAGCAGCTCTGTGAAGGGCTTCTCTAAGGCCACAGGCCTTTCTCAGCCTTTTTGCCAGGCCAGGCACAGCTCTCTCATTCCCAGGGGCCACTTCGGGTCACACAGCATCGAGTCAGCCCCAACCTGCTTCTCCTCCCTGGTCAGGACTTTCCGGGCTGCGGCCTTGTCCACAAAGTATCTATGGATCTCCGTGAAGTCACACTTGTCCAGGCTCTTGATGACTTCCCTCTCTTCCTGTCATTTCCTGCACAAACCACAGACACGCACTCACCATGTCTGGCGGAGCGTGTCGTGAGCAGAACCTGTACAGGAGAATCTACGGTCCGTGAACCAGAGCCCCTCCCCGCAGACCCACAGTTGGGAGGCTTTGAATTCTGTTGTTGCAGGGGAGTGGAGTGGGGTGGAGCAGCCGAGGCACAGTTCTCCAAAGAAACAACTTCACAGCCAGTCGGGAGTAAAACTGGCTAAAACTGACTCAGTAATTCCACTTTGAGATCATCTAAATAAACTCTCCAGTATGAAAGCGAGGATGGCGATGGCACTAAGAGCAGCAGAAACGCCATGACCGGACAGAGTAGGATCAACGATAAGAGACTCATTTTAAAAATGCGGAACATAGGTGTATTGGTTAGAGACAGTCTCTGATCCATATTGCTGCCCATGCCTTTATGAATCAGAAACGCAAGATCAATGATAAAACTCCGGAATGATCTTACAGCTCCCAGGGGTTTGGGAGAGGGATCAGGGCCCCAACATTTGGCGGCGTCTGTGGAGGACAGTCCCTGCTTCTGAGAGATTGCCCTGAAGGCCTGTCCTCGCAGTGGAGGACAGAAGGACAGAAGGGGCCCACAGCTAATTTCACCCAGCCCTGCCCTAAGGCCCTAAATTAATCCTAAGGGCTGCAGCAAGGCAGTGACCTCACAGCCCAATCAGCTCCTGAGGCCCTACTTCTGTCCCTGTGGCTGGGATTCAGTTTGAAGAGGTGAATTAGAAACTGGCAAAACAGTTTGATGATGATCTACCCGTGTGGAGACTAAGCAGGATAAAATGCGGTGGGAAAACATTGCGATGCACTGATCACACTCACCGAAAGCACTGCCCAGGAGAAGCCAGGACATGGGGAACAGGAGGCTGACCTGAGGAGGCATGATCCACAGGCTTGTTTCTCCTCTCATTTCCTACACAACAAAAACTCTGTGCAGCCCATGGCCAAAGGCCCAGAGCTTGCGGGCACCAGCTCACGGTACCAGTCAGGCACTCGGCCACTCAGGCGTGTGAGGACCTCAGGGGCACCTTGCTGCTAAGGCGTGTGTCTCACATGGGATGGGGGCGACCCGCCTCTGCGAGGGAGGCTCAGGTGCGACACCATCTGTGGCTGGGCCAGAGGAGGGCTTTGCACCGGCCACAACATGCGGGCTCGGGGTCCGTCCCACCAATGTGTCTCCCAGGGCCTCGGATCGGCCGCCGCCCATTCCTGTTCCGCTGCCTTGCGACACTGCCTCCCCTTCCCTAGCTCTGCTAAGTGGCTAAAGTGCTGACCGGGAGCGGCGGGGAGTGAGGACACCGGGCAGCTGGGCTGCCACCTCACCAGAAGCTGTGGTGACAGGCAGAGGGTGGCATCAGGACAGAGGAAGAGGGGTCAGAAGCCGGGAGCCCACACACAGGGCTACAAGAAGCACAGGCTCCAGCAGCTGGCTGGGACAGTCAGACACCCACACATGCAAGCACGACCTCGGCCTCTACCCCACACAGTAGCAAAAATTAACTCAGAGTTCACTAAGCCCTAGCGACCTCAATGGAAACCTAAAACCAAGACTTCTAGGAAAAACATAGGAGGAAATCTTTGTGCTGCTGAATTAAACATATTTTAATAGACAAAACAACAAAAGCACAACCTGTGACAAAACATATTTTTACGGGACCACAGTCAGTATTCCAAACTCCCTGACCTTCAAAAGACATTGTTAAAGAGAATGCAAATATAAACGCTGACACACCATGAAAAAGTTTTCAAATCCTATTTCTGATAATGGACTTAAAGCAGGACACAAAGTACTCACCCATAAAAGAAGGCTGATAAACTCAATAACTAAGTTAACATTTTCTGCTTGGAGACCTCACTGAGAAAGCGAAAAGGCAAGTCTGGAGATGATATCCACCTTCGTGCAACTGGCGAAAAGCTGTATCCAAAATGCATTTTCAGAACTCCGATAAATTATGGCGAGGAATATACAAGCAACTCAATTTTTTTAAACAGACAAAAGTTCACAAGCGAAAATACTGCAGATGACACATCGGTACACCAAAAGATGCTTAATATCACTTCTCATTAGGGAAATGCAAACCATACCACGGTGAGGTGTCACCTGGAGTGCCCACTAGGCGCCTCACACCCGTGCCCAGGCGATGTGGACAGTTCAGCCTGGCGTTTCCAGTAAGCTGGACCACATGTGGCCATGACCCAACAACTTCACTAAGTCCTGTGGGGGCTACTGGCAGCTTTACATGCAAAGGCCAAAAACAGAGTGTCAAACCCCATGAACAGGGAAATGGACTAGCACAGTCACACGGCGCGGGAAAGCGGGACCTGTGCAGAGCCAGGCAGAAGCCGATGGGACAGCCCAGCAAGTCAGGCTGATCTTGCAGGTGTGTGCCGACCACCAAGAAACCCCAGGGCACAAAGCCCGGCACACACATGAAACCAGTCAGGCCATGGGGCGGGCAGTCACCTGAAAATGAGTATGAGGAAAAAAGCCTTGGGGAGCACCCTCCCACCAGAGCTTCTGCAAACCTTCTTCCCGGGGCTGGGAAAGCGGCAGTGGCCTCCTCCCACTCCCTCCCTCTTACTTAGCCACCAGACCCTGTCCTTTCACTTTGATCCATGGAGTCAGGCTACCACCAATCCGGCTACACCCACGGCCTGGAGAGGGAAAGGTCTGCGGGAGGCGCTGGGCAGGGCACACTGGCACCGCCTATGGTCCCACAGCTACTCAGGAGCCAAGACAGGAGGATGGCTTGGGCCAGGCTCGAAGCGAGTGTCCACCGTGGCCACGGGCTGCAAGGGGCGGCGATCAGAGGCAGCACTGTGGGAACTGCAGGGGGCCTGGCCAGCCCAGGTCAGGACAGCTGTGCGGCCGCCCAGGGTACTTACCTTTTCGCCAATTAAAGAAGTTCTTCCGGAAAACCTCCTTTGTTGTGTATTCATGATCCAACATACCCATAAAAGTGGCAACCTCCTCTAAGCTTTCATGCTCAATCTCATGGCTTTCCTGCAGGCATCAAGGAGCACATCACATGAGGGAGAGAGTGGCCCACCTGGGCTTGGCCTCCAGCTGACACTTTGTGACTTCATTGCTTTAAACTTCAGCTTTGATGCATACTATACCTAAGAGCAAGAAGCTAGGCCTTATTCTGTAAGTTCAGCAGCATGTTCTACATGACAAGCGACAGCCTGACCTTTCGCATTTAGGTGGCGACCACAGTGATCTTGGGTGGGTAATTTATCTGCAGATTTCAAGTGCTACTGATTTCTTCTCCTTTAGCACTTTACTTTGCTACTACATTTATATTACATGAAAATGGAACATGTACAATTTTAAAACACACCAACCTCTACAAAATTCACAGGAGCAAAATAAAAGTTAATGCTTCAAGCAAGAAACTGAATAACTGTAAGTGTAACCCTGTAAAAACTCTGCCAGCCTCTGTCACAATTCCCTAGTTTTCTTCCAGTCGGTATGGTTTAGAGATGCAGGCGTGAGCTGGGGCCCAGGCGAGCAGAGCGGAAGGCTTCCTGGTGGGAATGAGGTGTTCACCAGAATTCTTCCAACTGTGATGTCTGAAGTTTTCATGAAAATTTTAGAGAGGCAAGAGCATAATCATTTGGTAACAAGGAAGAGAAGGTATTCTGATAACTATGCCTCTCAGGACAACAGAGGACGAGAGAGGCCCAGGAGGAACCAGCAGCACAGGCCCGAGGGGGCTCAGTTCGCTGCCCACCTCTGTGGAGGCTAAACCCCACTGGGCCCCACGGCGAGCACCACTGCTCCCGGACTGCCTGTGGCCCTGCACAGGTAGTCCTCATCCGCCCGTCCCTCCTGGCCAGGGAGGTCCTGCAGGGCACTGTGGGGCGGGGCGAGGCGGCTACTACCACTCTGCGCCTAGAGCACAGGCCGCGAGAGGCTCAGTAGGAGGCCCCATGGCCTCCATTCCACAGACACAGCTAGAACCTCTGTCCCTGTGGAGATCTCAGTCCAGCTTGGGAGGACAGGCTTTGAACAAAAATTGCCATCAAAGGAGCTCCAGCAAACTCAGGTGTGCATGTGACAGCAGGGAGACCCCAGGAGGGCCCTCCCTCCCTGCCCTTGAGCCCTGCTGACCCAGAGCCCCGGGGGTCCTGCTCTGAGGGTGGCTCAGGCGCTCATGTGGATCACGAGCTCCGCTTCTTGCTGGGAGTCACAAGCTGGGATCAAGTGACCGTTCTGTGATCACGTGTGTACACGCAGTGTGTGCCACACTGTGTGTATACTCAGAACACACAGGAATTTCTACAGTGTGGTGCAGGAGGGAGGGAGGGGGAGGCAGGGGTGGGCCTTGCCATGAGTCCTGAACTGTGAGCACAGCCAGTGCAGGCTCAGCAGGGAAAGGCGCGGGGACAGGAACCCCAGGCTGCTGCCCTCCTGAGAGCTGCACCACCCCTGAGCACAGGTCAGTCGGTCAGCAGCCCCGCATCACCTGCAAGAAGAGGCACGGAGGCGCTCATAGCCAAGCCTGCAGCGGGGCTGAGGAGCGAGCCGGATGCCCATTGGGAGCCAGCCCAGGGGAGCCACTTCAGGCCGGGAGGAGCCGCTCTCTGTCCTCACCGTCATAGAAGAAACACACTCCGCCCGGGAAGGGGGGCTGCATTATGGGGGTGCAGTACGGAGCCACTTGTGCTCCAGCTTTGTCTCCACTTCACCCCGTCTTCACGCTTCTCACCTCCTCCCACCTAAAGATGGAGGCAGGACGTGTCACTCTCACAGGCCAGGCCCAGTGTGAGCCTCTTCCCCCTCCCATGGTGGCTCTCCCTGTGGCTCCCAGCAGGTGGAGCCGTGTGGCCTCCCCACCTCCCGGGGGAGAAGAAAGGCAAAACACCTGCAGAGGGGCTTAACCCCCTGGACCTGTTTGCGTACCTGTACCACCCGCCATCACCCCTACCCTCCCGACAGCAGCGGAGTGCGGATCCACGCAGCCCGGCTAAAGCGGGAAAGGAAGAGCAACGTGCCTCCCAGGCTAGGGCTCTCAGATGGGTCCCTTCAGAGTCGAGTCTAGAGTCACCAGAACCTCTCCATGGGACTGTTTCATTTGCTAAATAAGGACCTGGCTGCTTAAGGACTCTGCCTCCCAGGAGCTGGGTGAGAGGGGGCCAGCAGTGCAGCCATTGGAGGCACGCAGCAGGCGCAGGACCGCCCACAGAGGATCAGGCAGAGATTGGAGGAAGCCGAGGCAGGGTGGAGGGGCTTGAGCAGGAGGAGGCCCCTGAAACCAAGCCTCAGGGGTTTTCCAGGAAGAGGGTCCTGTTGGGGCATGGGGGAGGCTCGCAACGCACTAACACAATGAGGCTCCACAGGAGGGCTCCCTGCCAAGGTCCCCACCTCCCAGGGCTTCCCTCCTGGCAAGCCCAGCTCTGGAGGTGGGGCGGAGCGAGACTGGCGCCAGCGTGGTGGTTACAGCCCATCCTAACTCTCCAGGCCAGTTGAGGCTCCAGCCAAGCCCAAACCGCCCTGAGCCAGCGCTGCCCCGTAGAAAGGGCTCAACTGAACCCAGACACTGAGATGGGCCTGGGAAGAGAGGAGCAAGGCAGAACTTGCAGCTGGCGGGCAGTGGGCAGCCTCACTCAACTTGGAGCTGAGGGAAAGGAGAGGCAGCACCTAAGGATGGCCAGTGCAAGGCCTCAGTGGGAGAGGCTTTGGCAGGAGGTGGGACGCCATCAGGATGGGGAGAGTGAAAGGATGGACAACCTTCTGAGCCTCCCCAGACGCACAAGGACAAAGGTTCCAGATCACCCCCCTGCCAGAAACCAGAGACCCTTGTGACCCAGCTGAGTAATTTGCTGTCTGAGAGGCCCTGGTGGGCTGTTCGGCTGGGATGGCGAGTGTCCTCCAGGCAACAGGAAGTCTCACAGAGGAGGAAGAAAGCATGTGCCCACTGACATTTCTGAAGGCCTTTCTGGCAGAGGGAGGAATGGGCATGGTTAGAAACCCAGAGCAAAAGGTGATAAAGTAAGGAGAAGTTAACTTCGGCTCAAAGAACTCCAGGGTGGAGCGAGGCACGGTCGCTCACGCCTGTAATCCCAGCACTTTGGGAGGCTGAGGCAGGCTCAGGAGCCCAAGGCCAGCCTGGCCAACCTGTGGTGAAAGTACAAAAAGCTAGCTGGCAGACACCACAGGCGGCTGGAGTCTGGGGAAGTCGGGAAGGGGGGGTTCTGCTGACTTTGCAGACTTTCAGCCTCACCTTTCTTACAGGTTTGAGTTCAAAGGCCCAGAAGTGGCCTAATGCAGCATGTCTGGGGTGGGGCGAGGAGATCGCTGGTGCCCTGAAGGAGATGAAACTGAACCTCAGCCCTCTTAACCTGAACCAACGCCTTTATTGCCCAAGAGGAATCAGGGTGTGAGAAAATGTGAAACCACAGGCCATCTCAGGACTGACTGATAGGAGCCGGGTGCGGTGAGAAACTAGCCTGTGATCCCAGCACTTTCAGAGGCTGAGGTTGGTGGATCATGAGCTAGGAGTTTGAGATCTGCATGGCTAACATGGCAGAAACCATCTCTACTAAAAATACAAAAATTAGCTGAGTGTGCGGGTGGCTGGGCGCACCTGTCCTAGCTACTCAGGAGGCTGAGGCAGGAGAATCACTTGAACCCAGGAGGCAGAGGTTGCAGTGAGCTGAAATTGCACCACTGCACTCAGCCTGGGTGGGGCAAGTCTCAAGAAATAATAATAATAAAAAAATTAAAAAAGAACAGCTGACAGTAACACAAAGCCTCTAGGATAATCACACCATCAGTCTCATTTCACAGATGAAGACACTGAGTTGAAACAACTTGCAGGCCAGCAGCCAAGCAGGGCTGCAGTGCTGGGATGTCTTAGCTCAGCCCAGCCCTGGCGTTGCACGTTGTGCGCTCTGCTGATGACATTCTTTCACCCACAGAGACCCGGGTACCAAAAGCACCACCATCAGAGCATAGAAGCTGTGGCTTTCAAAGGGGGAGACCTTGCTCCAAACCCCACCTTTCCACCTGGGCGACTGCAGCCTTACTTTTGGAAAGCACCTACCTGCCTGTGCACCCTCGGAGATCGCCTCAGTGCAGGACCCAGAGCCAGCCCCAGCTCCAGGGCAGGCCCAGAACTCCCTCACCCTAGCCCTCCCCATCTGGAGGCTCTCTTTGGGTCCCAAGATCCTAGAGCAGAGAGGACATTTCTTGGCGGCATGGCCTTGGGCAGCTGTATGAGCCCTCAGCTGTGAATGGATATGGTGATGGCGCACCACCAGGAGCCACAGAGACACACACGCTGGGAAGCACCAAGTGAATAGCCTTCAAACCGACTGGGAAACTCCTGCAGGATCTCCCACGCAACACCAGTGAGGCCAGGCTGTCAACTCTGCACAGCTCTTCGAAACCTCCCAGCATTTCGTGCGCAGAGACCCAACCCATGCGGCTACCACAGGCCCAATGTGCCGGCAGGGGGTTCTCCCATGTGTCCCCAGGAAGCGCCTGGGACCACGAGAGGCAAGCCCACCAGGGCCACTGGATCATCTTTGGCGTGTGCCTGGTGATGTAAAGATACCACAGTGAGTGCCAGCGGTCATGCAGAGTGCGTCCTGGAGACAGCCGGGAACCGCTCTCCAGGAAAGGGCGTCTCAGAGGGCAGGCACAGCAGCAGAAGCTTTTTATAAAGTACACCTAGCTTAAACCCTACAGTGTTGAGGCCCAGGCACTTCTACCCTGTGGTAAAACCTCAAGCCAAAAGGGGGAGATTTCCCAAACAGAATTTGGTGGGGTGGTCCCATGGGGAAGGAGGGAGTATTGTTATTGTTGACGTCACGGAGACCTATACACCCAGGCTTTCAAGAGGCGGGCAGTCACACCACCGGCACTCATGCTCTCTCCCGCCCGACTTTGGGAAAGCGGGCTTTGGGGCAGGCCGTCCCGAGGCCTGTCACTCCCCTTTCTGGACTAACCCAGCCCATTGCTCAGGGGCCCCGCGCGCCTGCTCAATGGG